TCCCAGCTGAAACCAGGACAGTCAATGAGATTATGCCGCTGCAGGTGTTAGAACCTTGAAACAAGGTTTCAAGGAGTGTGGAAAGAATAGGATTTTGGAGGCTATGGCTGGAGAAAAAGGGAGGAATGAGGAGAAAAAAAAAGGCATCGGCAAGGGAAAAAGGAAACCAAAGGAATCGAGTATCTGTAAAACTCTCAAACAATGAACAGCTTGTGCATGAGACACAGAAACTCTCTTGGCTCAGTCTTGTGGTTGAGGGGCACTACTGGCAGGTACAGCATTAGGTGTCATCTGTAGTGTGAATGCTGTACACAGGTGAAGCAGGGGTGATAGCCCCTTTTCCTCTAAGATTAAGTCTCCAAATCAAGCGCTTGAATGTCTGCACAACCACAACATGCGTGTGCATATGCGAATGATCATTCAATGGCTGTACTGTTGTCATGTGATTTTTCCACTAAAACCCTGATGTGCATACATAGTGCCTGGTGTTGCTTAGCTAATATTTTAAAACGCTTTTAGAGTCAAAGCAAAAGCTTTAAACACAAATTCCTGGTGTACATCTTACATTTCACCTTCTTTCTTACATCATTCAGTATCTCCGTTTCTCTGTGAGTTCACATGAAGTGTGAAATACAGGTTGTCCCTTGGTAGAGGAAAACATTTCACCCATTTTGCTTATGTTGTGTGTTTGGCAGCTTACAAATTAGAAAGCAGTTGTGGTCAGAAATAAACTGCCTTATGCAGCTTTGGAAGTTTGCAGTTAGCAATGGCATGTAAGTCTAGCTCTGAAAGTGTCTGCCTAGATCAAAAGGGTAATTATGTGTAATTAAAGCAGACCCTGCTTTAATTAAACATCTCATTTGAGTACAAGTCAGCGTGGATCCTACTGCAGAAGGTTACATGCTTATTTTGCATGAAAGCACTCTGCCCATGCTGTTTTCACCTGTCTTCGTGTTTAGCGTTTGGACATGAGAACTGGTGCAATTGCGATGCCTCCTCAGTTCTCTCCCACCCTCTGGGGCAAGAAGATGGGTCCTGAGCGATGTCCAGCTTACTGCCTGCCTTTCAGATTCACACTTGTTCCAGATCAGTCTGGGCTGTTTGGGGTTTTTTTGAGCAAATCTTCACTTTCTAATGATTATAACCTGGTTTGAGCATTCCTCCTGATACAAAAAGCCCCAGTGTTCAGCATACTAAATGTCATTATGATGAACGTGAAAGTCACCACAGGAAAAAGGGCTGTCTCTTATAATAGTGGTATTACAAACTGTTCTGTACATTGTGTTTTTATGATGCCTTGTGCCTGTATGTACTCCAGACAAAATAGCAAGACCCACTTTTCAGTATTCAAAAATCAAGACACAAGATTCATACTCATTCGTTGCACTTTAGTAGAAAAAACGCAAATTTGCAAAATAGGAAGAAGGGCTGAAGATAATGGAAATTGAGTTATAAAGCAAGTTACACACAGAACATGTTCTGCTACAAGCATGGTATTTTGTAATTTTTTTAATAAAAACAAAAACTTCTTTTGATGTTAGAATCTAATAAATCCTGAGCTCAGAAATAATTTGTGTAAAATTCAAGTGTTGCCAAACTTTCCTGCTCTATCAAAAACCTTCAGATTTTGAGTGAAACTATGCTTAGACATAATGAATAACATAAATCAGAATGCTTTTGCCCTTTAGATTTCCAGCAAGGTTGACTGAAAACAGCTACTCAACCACGAACATCTAAATTTACTCTTCTCTAATTCCACACTGGTTCTGCTAAAGACAGTCACTGCCATTTGACTTCATGTGCCAGTGAGGTCCCATTGCTCTGTTCTGTTCCTGACTGATAAATGTGCACCACTTGCATTAAATCAGTTGGAATTAGAAATATGCAATGATGCAGTGAAACTATCCTCCCAATTATTAGCTAATCTATATTTACATAACACTATATAGTATGTTGTATGTATTCCCTAGCAGGAGTGGAAGTGTCCAGAGACAAAATGAAGTGATTAGATATAAAAGGTACAAACCTGCCACTGTATATAGACAAGGAGTCCCCAAAATCATAGCAACTCTGGTCACTAATGCCAACCCTAGAACTCAGTATTCACTTGCTCTTTCATTGCAAGCAGCATAGTTTTACAACAGCCCAAGTGTTTTAAATCATACTTACCACTGCCCATCCTCAAGATACTTTATGTTACATTTCTACTGCACTTTAATAAATGAGAAGTAAATTCTGAAACAGCAGTGGCTACTAAGGCCAGTAGAAAACGGTCATTAATTTCTCTCATGAAACATGATACTAGAAAATTGGAGGTAGCTAATTTGGTGCCAGTTTCCAGAGTTTCAGGAGAGAGCTAGGGAACATACTGACCAAGAAACCTGCTGTATTAACTGGCCAAATTGCAAGAACTGTAATGCAGACCCAAGAGATGAACACATTGAGAAGAAATCAACGAAGTTTCTGTAAACAGAAGTAATTCTTCATAAATTCATTATTTCTTTTAAGTATTCTACAACCCTGAGGACACAGGAAATCCAGCTGATATAGTTCACCTTAACTTCAGAAGAGATTTCACCACATGCTTTTCAAAGGCTCTAAGAAGATACAATCTGAGGGGATAAGCAGGAAGGTGCTTGCAAGGATAAACAGTTAAAAGAGAACAAAGCCCCCCCCCCCGCCTCCCAAACCTTGCCACGCCAATACAGCTAGGCAGAAATAGTTGGGGTTTACAGCACAAAAGACTATTAATGCTTAGTTTATGCAGTTCAATGTATTTCTAAATTATGTGGAAAAAGGAGAATAGTTGGCTGGCCACATTTGGTGATGCTACTAAGGGTGCTAAAGACAAAGACTGAATGAAGACTTGCAGGAGGACCCCATGCTACTGAGTGACAGGGCAAAAAACCAGCAGATAAAATTTAATAGTGATAGATGAAAAATAAAGCACAAGGAGAAAAGCCAGTCCTAACAACATTTACAGTGATGGGCTCTGAGCTTCTTAGTACCATTCGCAAATGATATTTTTATATGACGCCAAAGAAAATTTGGCACAATGCTAAGCAACAGTCCAAAAAAGTATATTGAATGCTCAGAATTATTTAAGAAAGAAACAAAAGGGAGTGCATTATTCCACTGTATGCACCTGTGGTGTCCCAGCATCTCAACTAGTATTTTAAGTTTTACTGCGCCCATTTCATAAAGGCTGTAGTGAAATTAGAAAATATGCAAAGACAGTAGCAAGGATAATTCAAAGTATGGACCAGCTTTTATATGTGGAATGATTAAATAGCTTAGGACAGTCTCAGCTGGAAAGGAGGCAGATGAGGACAGAATATGACATATCTATAAACCTACAGTGGCAAGGAGATGAGGAATAGGTTTTGAATCCAGTACGATAATTAGAAGGCAGAAGCAGCAGGAAAAAACAAACAATAGAATGCATTTCTTCTGACAGTGCATAGTTAAACTGCCAAATTTAACATGGGATGTTGTGGAAGATTTTATAGTGACTGGGAGAAATAATGGAAGGAAAAAATCTACTGAAGGGTATTAAATAGAATAATATAATCCTTGGGCGTCCATGAATGCCAGTTCAGGCCAGTCTTGACAGAACTCAGGTAAAGTACCACTACACTCTTATCCTTATTTTATACTTCTTCCCAGCACCCTTCTCAGCCAGATAGAGGAGGGTATGGGACTAAATCATCTGACCCAGCCCCTCTGTTGCTGTGCAGTGAGGAAGAGGACAAGAATGCGTACTCAAGCTGGTCACAAACAAACATTACTGTTGTAATACAATTAAGTCTAAAATCCTCTATTAGAAAGAGTGCGGACTGTGGTGATACAGCATCTAGCAAGGGCCGGGGGAGTACCTGCAGGGGTTACAGTAGGTACCTGTCCTGCATGCGGGGCTTATTTTCTTCTGTGATCCCAATGGCTGTTGAAATCCATGGACTTATACTAGGAGGGAAGCAGTTTTTTAGTTGTGTACCTTGTGCAACCATTTTTGGAATACCACATGCACAATTTAAAAAAGGCTGTTAATTAGACTGGAAAGTTTAATTGCACATACAGAGCACTGCAAAGCAGTTTTGGTTGTTCTATGTTTCGCAGCTCTGTGTCTTAAATGTTCTGGGGAACAGGATGAAGTGTCTCAACTCCCTCTGGTATTGACCCACAGGCCACCACTGGCACAGCCAACAGCTGCATCAGTGACAATACATATCGGAAAAGCCAGTGTAAATACAACCTGAGAGTGGTAACTGCACTAACAGTGCATCTGTATATCGTCTCAGCTTGTTTCAATGAGCAAATTCACTGGGTCCTCTGATAGAAACTAAACAGCCCCAGGCTACTGCCATGGATGTACTGCTTTGGATAGCCACTCCTCCTCTTAGCAATTACTGGGTTTAGAATTCCAGCAGGGACAATAATAAAAATTTTGAGGAAGATTGTTAACTATCTTCAAGTACAAAATAACTTTTTGAAAACACTAACAGTCAAACTGCTCAAATAATGCTTTCCATTAAGAGTTTTCTTAGTTCAGCTGGTCTCCTTGGGGCTAAATACTTTAGTTGCATAAATGTGAAAGTTAGTTGTCCCGCTTTTAGGACCTGTAAGACTACGAAGAAGATGTTATTTCTTTTGGTAATACAGAGCTAATACTACTAAACACTGAGTCATCATTAGAACTGCCTACTGATTTCCAATAAACCACAATTAGGCAAACCAGACAAAGGCATAGGAATTTCATTAATATCCTCAAATATGTAATTTGACCTTGGGAGACTTGGTGGATAGCTATAGTATTATATGAAAACAGATCTTAATATAACTATTGGAATATGAGGGTGAGTTCACAGAGCTGGTACTGAAACCACACTACAGGTACTTTCTGCTGAGCTTGACTACACTTTGACTACACTCAAATCACACAAGCCACATCAGATAAAAAGGCTAGCTGATTTGTTACAATTCTGTCCTTCGTTCCTTGATAGGAAGAACCTGTTCATCTTGAAGGCAGTGCAATGGATGTACATATTAAGTGGCTTAAGCAAGAATATATGAAAACTCAAAGGAACTGGAAAGAAGTGGATAACAGAATGAATGTGACAATAGAAATACGGAGAAAGATGATCAGTGATAAGGCACCTTTAAAAGACATTCTTAGACTATTTCCTTTCTTAAGATGCCCTTATCAGGTAACAGAGCCATTTTTAATAATGACATTGAACTCTGTGTTATAGATGTGATACAACCGTAGGCATGTATTCTACGGGATGTTTCCAGTGAAGTATCCATCAACATTGTTCTCTTTAATCTAACTCATATTTTTGCTGCTAACCCCACTCTGAAAGATTCACCAGTCCTGTGTTAAACATGCTACACACACCAGTGGGTTATTTGAAGTATTTTGGTGTTACTTGGTGTATTTCTTCCCTGCTTTGAAAAGAAATGAAACCATCCCCTCCAGTTTATAATCTTATTTTACTGAGCTAGTTTTATCCTGTCTTCAAAGTGTGCACCTCGTGTTGTTTTCAGTTTTGGTTTTGAGGATTGCAATAATACCAAATATTTGTTTTTCTTTTAGCTTTTTAGGGAGTTCCAGCTTCTCACACACACGGACATTTATAAGAAAACAGTTGAGATTTTGGAGATTTATTCAGAAAACATATTATCTTTGTATGTGGTGAGGAATAATCCAATTAACATTATGCTGCAAGAAAATCTGAAGCGGCACACAGAGGAAGACATTCTGAAATGTCAGTACAAATCTTCAATGCTCTGAACATCAGAGTTTTGTTGTAGCTAATTGTTCCTACTTATGTAACTAAACTAACTCCAATTTTACTGCAAAAACATTTTTTATATGTCACAGTTGCTTGAAAAATATATAGTGATGGGGAAGCATTAAGAATGAAAGCTGATAAATTACTAGGAAAATTAAGTCAGTCATGTATTGAAACTTTTTTCTTCTATTGAATAAAAGACTGCAGGTTTGATAAAAGTTAGTAACTGCCTTAAAATAAGTATTGCTAGATGAGCAGAATTACGTATTTCTAGATATATAAAAGAGTGCTTATTATCTTTTAAAAATACACACAGAAAACTAATTTTCTGGTTTAGAAACAGTCCTATCAAAAAGACACAATTCCTTTTAGAAAGAGAGGTACTGTTTCTATGGTTAAAGTCTTCATCCCAGTGAAATAAAAGAAGTAGTTATGACTAACTGTGTTTCAAGTACCCCGTCTCTGCAGAGACACACTTCAGGAGTAAGTGCACAAAGTGGTACCTCTGGCGAGCAGGTACCACAGTCATGCACAGAGGTCCACGTACCTTGACATGTTTGGCTCACTGGCTGCGAGGGAGCAAGCACCTGCTGCCACTCAACTTCCTTCAGTCTGAGAAGTCTGGGGAGTGCGGTTCTGCAGGGACGAAACCTTTGAAGCAGTAACTCAGAATCATTATTCTTCCCAAAGTGCAGCTGTAGATGCCTATGCCTGAGCTTAGCTCTGTGAGAAGTGCTCCTAAAACTGTCATTGTCTATCGAATGGGCATAATGCCAGGATGTCAAATCAAAGGTGACACAGGATGAACACACGCGTTTCCTATAGCAGTTTCACTCCTATTACCAGGCCATTTCTTAAAGAAGCGAGCAGAGTAGGTTAAAATACTGGGGTTTTCTTTCTTGAAGTTTAAAAACATGAGTACTCAATAGCTCATGATAGATTAAGAAGTGTCAACGGACAGCTCAATCCAGAAAGCCTTTATGGACTTTCTACTCAGACCTTTGGCCTTAGAAAGCTATGGTCATTGTAAGTCATTTCCCCTCTTCTAATACAATATGCCCACAAAGATTTTTAACTCATACCTTAGTAAAGTCTCAAGGCCTTTACTTTCCTGTTTTTCTCTTACAAACAACTTGACCTGGCACCTAGAGAATAAGTGCCTGACAAGATAGGTCCAGTGAAACACATGACACCAGAAGCCTGAACTGCAAAAAAGGTGTTACAGTCAATAATAGCTCAACCAGAGGGGTAGCAGGTACCACATCCCAGGAGGTTCTGCAGCACCGGCTTGTACCGCAGCCTTCAAAGCGGAGTCCTCTGGCAACAGGACTCCCCAGAGACATCTGATTTACAGGGGAGAGAGGAGTTTGGGGATGGGTGGTGGGGGCAGGAGGACTACTCAGCTCACAAACCAAAGCAACCCAAAGGTCTACTTATTGTGAGAGAAATTTAATCGTAATATTGAGTAGCAGAGTGTCATGAATGATTTGAATACTAATGTCCATTGCCAGCTAAGTACCTAAACCTTCACAGCAGTACAAACTGCTCTTCAAAATGGACTGAACAACAGTTCTACTGCTGAGTTAACTATTACATAGGCTGCAGTCTGTTTTTTCAAGATGATACTGGAGTGCCAGCATGTTTTCATTTGCAATTTAGTAGAAATCCTTGCCTTTGACAGATATGAAAATGACTGCTGCATGTTTACTCCTGCCAGATGTCTTTGGAGATGATTCCAGTCTGTTTGCTGCAGTGAATGAGGAGGTAGGAGACAGAGCACCAGCAGTCTTGGTCTCTCTTCCTTGTATCAGCTGCCTGGGCACATCACCTGGCCTTCTGGTGCCTCAGCTTAGCTCCTGGAATGGGATGACAATAGCCTGCCTTTTGGGTAGAACGCAAATATTCATAGAAATACTAGCTAAGTTCAAAGCAGTGTTATTATGCTTACTTAATTCTCTTGACTGTTCACCAAAGCAATGCTGTGGCATCACTTGAAATATCCTTTTTTTAATTTAGGTAAAGGCAGTGACACCAGTGTTGGAAGTAAAAAATCCATTCAATGTGAATTCATGCGAGTTTGCCCTGTATGTAGGAAGAGAAGAGCTAACCCAGCTCAATGACTGCACCATGGCCCTGGCAGCACTGGTAGCTGCATTTCATGTGTTCGATATTCCATGCCCAAAGAGAATCCACAGGACGCTGAACTTCCTGGAGTCCCTGGTCTTTGAAGTGAGGAGGCCAGCATCCCTGCCCACCCAGGTAAAGAGAGGGCTGGAGGCACCCGAGTACCCCAGTATCTGATGGTGTACACAGCACTCGTCTCGTGAGCATTCGACATTTTGTCAAAATAAACCCCTTTGTTGTGAAGATAAATCAGTACCATTCTTTCTGGTGAAAGTGTATATATAACAGTTATGTTTAATAATGCCCTTTTTTAATTGTATTGGCTACTTTTTAAAAAATATAAAACCTAAGCATTTTCATATTTTAAATGGAAATTCTAGATCAGTCTAGAGGCACTAGAGATAAAATTTTCTAGATTACTGCATGTGTCATGTATTATTTTTCTATATGGAACATTTAACAAATTCAGGTAATATTTTGACTGTCAGAATTTAAAAAACACATTGTGAGCTTATGTGAGCACTTCACTGCTTCAGATGCTAATACAGTTAATGTTTTGAAGTGGCACAAATTAAAGATTTACTTGTTACCATAATAATTTCATTATATTATCATCACTGAAAGCCTACTAGAGTAATTTTTGTGTCTTGAAATGGTGGGCCTGATTTTTAATTTGCAGGATGATGAGTTTTCACTATTTTCTCCATGCATGAAACATTCTTCTTTAACATTAATCATGAATTTGCTAAATAGGGATTCTGAGATGAACTCTCAAAGCAGCAAGAATGACTTACCTGAGATGCTTCCACGTGCATTTGTAACCACAACTTTGGCACTGGGGAGAGAATGCCTCATTTTCTTTCTGAATTTCTTCCCCAGAACAAATCGGCCTTCTCCACGTGGTGACTCTCCTGTCTGCCCATGCAGAGCAGAGGCCCTCTCCTCTCCTCTCCCACAGCCTCCTCTTCTCCCTAACATGCTCCTCTTAACTCCTGCATGTCTGGAAATCCTAGGGGTTACTGCCTGACAGTGCACAGCTTCAGACAAGCGCCTAGTAATGGACAGTAGCAGCAGCCCGCAAACATGACCCATTGCATTAATTACAAATTAAAATGGCTTTTTATTAAAGCACTGCATTCTACTAAACACATCAATCTCCCACCAGTTCTAAAAATGTCTGTGTAGGCAAAGCAGCGTTTGTGGTCACCACAATTCTTTTAACACTCAAACACACAGCTTGGAAGACCCTGTGGAATGAGGGGAGATTGCTGCATTTAATGGCCAGACTCTCTTGCTAAAGTCTTAGGATTTTTCAAGTGGCTCGCATGGAAATCAGGGGACAACCTTTACCTGTGTGATAGCTGGGCTGCCTCCACCACAACATATGAAACAATACCAACTGCCATTTTAAAGATTCAGTAGGTCTCCTGAGTGTTTTTAGTTTTCAAGTGAATTTGTTGTGTGTAGTTTTTGTAACAGAGGTGGCTACACCCTGCTACCTCATCACATGAGATACAGAAGGATTATACATGTCCTCACTGTTGTGATAGCTGTATGAATAAAAAGCTGGGCTCTGTATAATTTCAGTGAGCTTCATTCTACATCTTGTAAACAGTATTAACTCAAACCCATTTCTTAAACCACAGTACTTTGTAAGTAGGTATATAAAAATTCAGGGAGGTGCTAACATCCCCAAGCAATCTCTGTCAAGAAGCAAATCTCTTCATTGGTTCTCACTCCGGGCTACAGAGCTGGCACACGAGAGAGACACAGAGGGTGAGGAAAAATAAACTACATGGAAGGACAGAAGGAAGGAAAACAAGAATTTGGCATTTTACTGATCTGTGTGGGCAACTTCAGCTTCTGCCAGTGACAAAATCCGGGTCCATAAATGGGATTCTGATTGTGACAGCAAGTGGCCTGTGAGCGTTAGGAGTAAGTGTTTAAGGAAAGGGCAGACAGCAGTAGCCAAGTTGCTCTTTTAAACTCATGGCCACACTGAGCTACAGTGAGGAATTATTCCACACCACCCTCGGGAATAGCCGGGTTCATCTGAGAATCCTGGGCACACACAAATGTAACAGACAGCTCCAGTTCAGGTTTTATTTGTATTGTAGTACAATAAGAGTGCAATTTGAATGTACAAATATTGAACAAAATCTAAAAATATTATTTATGCAATGTTATGGAAGGAAATTAACAGAGCAATGCAACTTACTTTATACTGACCCTGTTTCACCTCATACTATGGCAGGTACTACTCACCTACATGATCTGGAAGGGGCACAGGGAGTTCTTGGAATCTTAAGGAACTCCACCCAAAGAACAGCCTAGCAAAACCTGTGGGAAGATGTAAAATTCTCCCAGCTCTGTGCAACAGAAATGCTCTGCTTGTTCTCAACTCTAAAGGCTGAACAACTGCCCAAAGCAGTGCTAAGAAGAGGGCTGCCAAAAATCTTGATCCAACTCTTCTCTCTCTTCTTGCGAAACTAACATTCTGGAACAGTCCTCAATATACAGGTAGCTAGGCATTCTCTTATTTAAAGTGCATCTGGTTTACATCTTGCGTATATATACCAAGTGCAACCGCTTTCCCTGACAAATCATTATAATAATCCTCCAAGAAAGAAGGTTGCCTCTCCTAAGTACCTGCTGGTGGCATCTGCAGCCTGCTAATGACGCAGTGAAACGCACCTAGGATATGCTGATACACCAATATGCATTTAAGTATCCTTTTCCTCCGTGCTTTGTCTTTCCCCCATGCCTTACTCATTTAGAAATCAAGACTTTCCAACTAGGAAGTGGTGGGTGAAAGAATTCTCCCACCATTGGGAAAACAAACCTATGTTGAATATGAAGCCAGAGTAGCAGTCTTACCTTTAGCACACTGTTTTTCTCCACTGTTGTGGTAACTATACTGGAGACCAGCATGTGCAGACATGAATGAATATATTTTCTTTTTTGCTCATGTCCTTACCTCAAAATACATGTATTTTCCTTCATATGCTGAGGGACTGTAGCAGGCTCCCATGTAAAAGGCTGGGACTCTATTGTGCAGCATAAACGAAAAGTCTTCTATGAAGTCAAACTTTATTTTTCAATTGCAGCCTTCTCTATACTGATCTTTTGGTAAAATACATTAAAGATGCTGGTGGAAAAACTCACATAACATTTTTGTAATCGTGCAAAAGTAAAAACATTCAGTTATCAAAAAAGCATTATAATTTCAACCCCAACAAGGTTTGTTTTGTTACAAGCAAACAGACAGTTTTATAATCTGTAAAGTTATATGCTGTAGCATAAAGTGTCACGTATGTAACATTAAGTGTTTCATTTTTAAACTATGGCACAAATACGTATTAGCCATAACAGTCTCATCCGGCTACCTGTAGCCTAATTTTTGGCTAATCAGTTTTTATTTTGATAGTATGAAGTAAAAGCTTCTGAAAAGTAAAATGGATACATGAAGTAGAATTCAAGAATTCTTAGAAAATATTAATGTTCCCTTATATAATACAGCATAAATAATTAATGAACGTTTTCTTGATGTCCAAAGAAAGTTAGGGATCCTAACCATCCATGGAGAATTAGCGCCATTAGTTTGGTAAATAAGACTAGCTGACTCGGTTGTTACACAGTACCTTCTCAAAAGCTTGAACACTTCCCAGAAGGATTCAGATGTGTACTGGCTCTAGGAGAATATAAATAGTCCACCAGTGCTGAAGTTACGTGTCTTCCTTTCTGAGAGTCCTTACTCAACAGTTCTAGCAAGTCTTTGTGCTTTGAATAAAACATGAGCTCCAGTGGCGAAAGCTGGCTCGTACACATTTTCCATTATCTTCAAAGTTCATTGTGTGAGTTTTTCTCTGCAGCTTTGAACATCAGAATGGAATTAAAGATTTTTAGAGCTGGTCCCAGTTTAATGCTCATTATTTTGACTATGTCTGATTGGGTCATTAGCAGAAATGCTTCTCCATCAATTTGCTTTAAAAGAAAAAACACACAAAGCTATTAATAGGTCTGACAGTGCAGCAGTATAGATGTTTCAGAAAACATGAAAAGAAAATTCCCAGCAATTTCAGACAGTGTAAAGGAATGGCTAAATACAAACACTTTCAAATGCTTTCATGAGAGCTTTGATTTCAACCTTTTAGACAGATCAGCTAGTCCAAAAGAACAGGATGATGATCTTCTTTCTGCTTGAAAACAACTGTCTGGCTAATTTTTAGCTAACCAGTTCTTATTTTCATACTGACAGTATAAAGTATAAGCTATTGAAAAGTAAAATGGGTAAATGAAGTAGAATTCAACTGTACTGCAGCACAGTAATGCTTTTTAACATCTTAGCTACTCTTTTTATGCAAGTGTCCATACAAAAGCTTCTGGATTTCACTCCCAGCTACAGAACTGGAACCCTCTTCAGTCTACCCCTTTCTGTTCATTAAAGAGCAAATTAAAACAAATTTGGTCCCCGATGTAAACAGGGGCCAGACTACATAAAACTGCCTCTTTGACACAAACACGACTTTTCAAAACACTGAATATTTTTTCAGCCAGCTTTGTAGTGTTGCTATTTTAATAAACATTACAGGTGAATATTCTCCTGTAGGCAAATTGTTCTGTCAGCAGGAGTGCTAAATCTGAACATGAAGAGCCACAAGGCCCTTACTTCCAAGGGCTTCAAGGGGCCAATGCTTCTTGTGTAAACTTCAGGTCACTTAGGTATCTATAGAAAGTTTTCAGTGAAACATAACCAGGATAGCTAGGCCTAAAAGCCAACTGTGGTTAAATCGTGAGCACTGCTTAGGCTTAAAGATACCAATTTGAGATAAAAACAGTGTAATTAAGTTCCGGTTGGACTAGAAGACAAGCTTTCTGAATCAGACACACTGCAAAGGAAGCCTGCAAGGTACCTCCCAGCACTGCAAGTTGTGGAACAGTGCAGTGAGAACAGCATCACGCAGTTACCACAGTTTCTACTCATTTCGTGCACAAAGCCAGCCAGCCTGGGTGGGCTCGGAACCAGAAGTGGGCTAATGTGGGGGTGCCCAGCTTTCTGCAGCACCTTAATATATGCAGGATGAGGGTTCACTTCCACAGCAGAAATCTGAACCAGCACCTTCTACCTACTGAAAGACTTACTGATGCCAGCCAGTCCATGCTGGTTGGTCTCACTGGGAGCAGTTTAATTTACTGCTCACAAACAAAGCCTGAGAGGCTGAATCCTAAGGAGGGGAAGTATTTTCTTACACCTCTGAGAATGAAAGTGTTTAGGATTCATCCATCTCTGTGGCACTTCCCACCCACTGACTTGATTAGCAGTATGCCAGCTTTTATTGATCTTAAATTCATTGGTGAGACGCCCTAAGTGATATATGGGATGATCTAGGCCTGCATACCTGCTGCAACTGTAAGATGCCTAACATCTAAGCAAGTGCAAAATGCCCAGAGATGCAGCCTGTCAGTTCTTTGATATGTAACTATAATAGTCATTACAATTTACAGCACAGCCTGAAAACTTTTGTTGCAGGAGATGAGCAGGCCATCTGTATGCATCTTCCTCAGGAGGTGCCTTCTCAAGTTTAAGTACCAGAAAGGCTGGCTGACTTGGGATATTACAGTATCAGATTCTGCCCATTCAGGTGGCCTCACTGGGATAATCACCTGAACTATTCACTCTGGCAATTTGTAACAAAACAGCCTTCTTGAAACTAAGCATTAAGAGGAGTAACAAACCTCAGAGGAAAAGAAAAAGCCGACCTAGTTTATAAAGGCCTATTGTACCTAAAAGCCCTATCACTTCCTAATGACAACTTTGGCACAACAATCTTCTCAGACACCAGAAGGGCATGCCTGGCGTGCTTACGAACAGAGTCCACACTCTTCTGAACCTCATCACAAGCCTTCAGATCTTCTCACTTCCCGCACACTCAAATCATATTCGTAAACTGGCTGTATCAGGAGGAAGAGCATCAAGAGCTAAGTGGTGGTTATCTTGAACCACTGCTCTGTTTTATTTTACTTATTAACATCCTGCAGAACTAAAATAACATACTTCTAAATTTCCTCAAACCAGATTAAGAGAGAACAGTAGTAAATCACGAAGTTCCTCATCTTCTACCATTAGTTCTAAGTAATTTCAGTTGCAGTAACAAAGCTAAAGGAGCATGAGAGACCTGGCTGACACTTAGCTAGTTTTATCTTCTTTACTTCCTTCCCACTCCATGACCTGCACACCAACCTAATCTTCGATACATTTGCATCTGACTTTAAACATGTATCTCATCCTACTACTTTATATGTATTTTTAATGATGACATAAAATTAATCTTTCCACCAAGCTTTGTACTTTGTGTCTTTTTGAAATAAAATTCACCCACCTCGTCTTTAAACACCTTGCCATGTTCTTCACATCCTGGTAAACTCCGTATAAATTCAGAGACCTGCCACCAAAGTATACAACAAAAGATTTAGTAAGACCAGTGTTTTCTCAAAACAGTCTTAAAGGTTGACAATCATTAAAGTTTTTTAGCTATTGTTTTTACAGCCTCATATTAGGTGTCCCACCTTCTTCTGTAAGTGCATAGAGTCACGCAGCTGGGTTTTTAAGGAGAGGATTCACAAAATCTACAAAGTAAAAGATCACGTGCCACTTTTGTCCACAGGACATCAAAGAGTGGGATATGGCTGCTCCCTCAAAATTACTCAGGTTATTCTATCCATGCAGATGCAGAACCATGAACCTTTTCTTTGTGAATCACTTCTCACAAACCAAAACGGTTGCTGCCTTCCTCTTCTTTTTGTTTTACAGCACAGAGATTAGCAAATCCTTTTTCAAAGTTTATGCTTCTTTTTTCTCTGATTAGAGCATATCCAACTGTCCCAGGTGCAGAAAACTGCCTTAGCCATAGGTACTTCTGAAAGTAAAGCAGGGACTAGACCCTGTCTGTCCAAGCATTATTAAATACTTTAACAGTGACAGGGCTTTAATCTTGAAATCAGGTGTCACGGCCTGACTATATTCATACCGTTCCTCTCTGCACTATATCCTCATCCTCCAAAACAGTGTGCCACATCCGAACTATGTACCAGGAATAACTCCTTGGTCCATGCTGACCCCTAAACCATTCCTCCAGAATGTTTGTGTGGGTGCTAGATGTTATTAGTGTAGACCTTGATCACCTGATCTGCTGGGCCATACATTCAGCACTTTTCTTTCCCTTTTTAACCCCAGTGAATATTTATATATACACACACATACATGTTTATCTATATCTATACCTGTCTATACACATATGAATTAATACTTACTGTTTCCAAGGCTGGGTAGCACCTGAACGGGCATTTTGGGGATCTGTTACATTAGGTCTGGCTGACTCTAATCCTCTGAGTACTAATGCATTATTGTTAATCTATGGCGCTAATCTAAAGCTCTGAATCAACCACGACTTCAAGGGCAGTGGCAGTGAGATAGAAGATACAGGGGAAACCTACCTCATCTGTACTCCATTTAGAAACTTTACTGGCTGGGATCCCAGCTACACTTGGAAGGAGCTTGCTCTGCTGTTCCCAGCGCAAGGGTAGGCCAGGGATTTGCAACTTGGAAGACACAATAACTGGTTGAGAAAGAAGCCTCTGTGTGCTGGGTTCTTCAGTATCTTCAACAACAGGAAGCAACAAACAAGCATTAAATCCCTCCGTCAGTGATGAGATCAGTCACAGTAAAAGCACATTCATTTCCATTGCTATATATGGGCCTCCCTACACTAGCTGTACAGTTGTGCTTACACCAGAATTAGAGGAATACCATGACTGTTCTTCCACTAGTATGTCTGTGATTATATTGTGTCTATATAAATGTAACTACTCTTACACGGAAAAAGTCTCTTCCAACACAACACAATCCTATGCCAACCCAACTGTTGACGTACCATAGGCCAAATAATTTTATATATTTTGATACAATAAATCACACCCACATTTAATAGTTGTACAGTAGTACAAGAGCTAACTTAATTCCAGGGTTGAGCTGTTATAACTTCATCAAAAGCAGCACTGCACTGATACAAAATTCCAAGTGAATCAGTTGTACAGTTCCGGCCCACACAACATTTATGCCTCATCCACAACAAAATGTTTTTCAGCTCTTCTGAGGAAAAACCACAAATGTCTGCAAATTCCCCATTCCCACTTTAACGGAATGTTTTATTTGGAGAATAACATTTAACTCCTCTATGCTGCTATGGGTTTTTTTACAAGGTCATTTCCCTTTTTATCTCACTTATCCATAATGGAAGGAATGAGCTCCCATCCCACCGGCCTCAAAGATAACGTACTGGTGGGAGGGTGGCTTCAGCCACATGCCACTGTTGCTGCTGCTTTCTGCAGAGCAGCAGCAGTTGCAGATGTGTGTAGGAGGAAAGAGGGAAAAGGCATCCCTCGAATGATGTCAAACTGCGCAAGAGATCTACGTTCATTTAGGTCCATTGCAAATGCAAAAGCAACATGCCTGCTATGAACTCAGCCCTGAATGCTTCCCAGTTGCTGAGTGAAAATGTGGAAAACCTCTGGAATTCATTTCTGAATGAAAAAGCCAACAAAGAACCTATGCTTAATGTTCCTTACTAACATGGCTTCATGCAATCACTCACAAATCCCTGTGCTATTTTTGTTTGTATCACTCACTTCTATTACAGCTCCATTCTATTTCCATTTTTGGGAAGCTGCTATTATTCACAGTACTCCCCTCTCCTTACTGTTCTAGTTTTCATACATTTGTGCCCAACAACTAGGGTACAAATTCCTATTACAGATTTTTGCCAGCACAGTGGGACTGGTCTAGAATACATAATGTGGCCAATATAGGATATGATTACATTTGCTTGTGTTGTTCTGCTCCTCTAGCTTAAATTTTTGTTACTTTCAAGAGTTACCCGCATTTTATATCAATGTCCATTATTTAGAAGTTGACTCTTAAGCCATTTAGTCAGTATTGTCAGCCCACTGATTAAATTTTTAAATAGATTCCTTAATTTTTTCCTAGCATCATACTCATACTCTTGGAAGTGAGTTCCCTAAATGTCTGTTTACACTTCACTGTTGTTCTTCAAATGTTCCTTACGAGTTTCTACTACTACTACAAATCTCAGTGAAAAAGAAAAGAGTCTTGTAAGGCAGCAAGCATGCTGAATATAAACCCTATTTTACCAAATAGTAGCTTTCTCATTGTTCCCTTGAATCCCCTCCCCATCCTTAACCCGATTTTTTCTTTCTAAAAAAGGTCTCTTAAGAGTTGAAAATACAAGTATTTAGCTATTTTTTTTGTTTTCCATTCACAAAACATGTAATACATTGATATTGTAACATAAACAGCAGACGAAAATACTGCGTGAACAAAATTCCAAGCAAATTGCACTCCGTTTTTGCACATGTTTAAACATATGCATACTTAAAAGCATACAGGTACATGCATACTGAGTAGCAGCAATGACAGCTAAGGTTACCTATCTATCCCATATATCTCTATTTTCAATAGTTTACAGCTGTGTCAAAGCCTAACAGTTCCAGATGAAAAATCTATGGTGGGCATCTGTCCATGCTGCGTTTTTTTTGAAAACTTCAAGCAAAGACAGGTCAGCTGGTTATCAATGAGGTTAGCAGAAAATAAGTTCACTAATGTGACACTGCATGATGCTAAATTGTGTACTCCAGCTATTCACATTCAAGAGCTCTATTTACTGACATGGAAAGGAATGCAGTGCCTAATGCCTTTGAGGATGTGGGCAAAAATGCCTCTGCCTCTGAGCCTGCATCTTATCTGCCTCACAGGTAAGATGAACAGCACAAAAGGAGCATGTAAAGTGCCAATTTACCCAACCAGATGGAGGGAAAGAAAAACAAAAAGTCCCCAACCCTGCATGAAGTATAACCACATCCCTGACAAAAGGAAGTTTAGGTTTAGCATGGGTAACTTCTTGCAAAAGACAGTGCAAAGCACAGTATTTAGGCTACAAACTATGGCTGTAATACCACACATCTAAAAGTTCTCCCTACCGTCATGCTCTGGTATTCCTTGCTCTGCAAGCCCTGTTTCCCATACAGAGGCAATCTGTGTCTGTGGGCCAGAGAAAGCAGGTGATGTATTCCAATTTCTGTCTCAATTTGGACATTTAGGAGAACAGTAACTTGAGGTGCACCATGGGTTAGCCAGTTTTATCACAGAGCCACAAAGAGCTCCTTGAACCACGTGAGGAAACAAAATCTGCTTGCCAGCTCTGTGCGAGATAGCAGAGCCAGATGCAGTAAATTCACACTTTTAACTCTGACCACCGTTGTCCTCTGCTGGCATTTTGCTTCAGCATCAGCCCACCTGCCTCTACATTCCTCTTCATACTTAATGTCACCTTGTTATCCCTGCACAACTGCAATTATTTTAGCTTGAGCTTTCCTTGACTATGATAGCAAATGATCCATTTTCATCTTAACGATTAAGTATTATGGCACATTTAAACAAATAATGGCACAAAATTATGTGCATAAAAAGGAGGTATAAAAGGATAACTTTGTTAAACAATAATGTAAGAAAGTGTTCTAGTTTTATAAACCTAATTATGCAAGACCCTACACCAAAATGTATCTTACTAAGCAGAGCTTCTTGGTGAAACTTTATCCTAATAGTCAATTCTGCCAAACTCAAAATGCTTCACAAAATCAGGCCAATTTTCTTAGAATAAAAAAAGAACTGCAGACAATTTAAAATGCTCCGAACTATTTGATTTTAAATTTTTTGTACTGTGTTATACAATGCAAAGTCAACATCAAAACATTATGTTCCCATTCTGCTGAAACAAAATACTTCAAATGGCCAAAACCTCTTTCTTTCATCTGCTTTAGAGAGATTCTTCTTTTAATGCTTCATTTTCTCCAGAATTCTGAACTACATCATGTTTAAAAACACCGTAGGAACCTGGATTTTTTTTACACCTTTTGCACAGCTCTTGTAATAGATGGAACCTTTCATAGTTCACACACTCTTCAGAGTGCCTCTTAGATCTATCTGAAAAGCGCTGGCAGACAAATGATGCTTTAAGATAAAAGAAATTTATCAGAGGTTAATAATTGAAAATAAAACACTACCCTAATTTTATCTTTACACAATGGTCTACTAGTCTCCAAGAATTTCCTGGGTTTTACAAGGATGAGCTCACTTAAGAAATGTAGCTCCAGTCTCAAGATTTTTGATGAAAGCCTTACAAATTTTGTGTTGCACAACAAATTACTGAAGAAAAAAATCTAAAAATTTAAGGAATTAAATTATGAAATCAAGACATTTAGCTTCTCATTGAACTTGCATGAGTTAATAAAATTATTGCAGCAAAAGCTGCACTGAAACAATACACTGACTCAGTCCAATAACTAGCCTGACATACTAAATTTCACACATGCAAAATAATTGTCAAATATAAGACTATGACATTCTGGTTTTGCGCTGTATTCTTTCTAAACAATGAGGATAAAAATTAATAATGAACAGCTCCTTCAACCTGTCCAGCTGGACCAGTGAACAGCCAAGAGTTTTGACACAGCAGTACACACAACCGTACAGAATCACTGAACCAAAGAAAAGTCCATGTTGGAAGGGACCTTTGGAGACCGTATGATGCAACCTTCTGTTAAGAGTAGGGCATTAGACTAAGTTACCCAGGGCTCTGTCAAGCCAAGTCCTAAATACTTCCAGCAAGAGAGATTCCACCTCTTTTCTGGGCAGCCTATTCCAATTGTTCTCATGGTGAGAAGCTTCTTCATTATATTCAGACAGAATTTCCCCTGAAGCAACTTGTGTCAATTCCCTTTTTTCCCCACCACTGCGCATCCTGGAGGAGAGGGTACCTCCATCTTCTCTGTAACTACCTTTTAGTTACTGGAGGACCGTGGCTAGGTTCCTCCAAGCCTTCCCTTCCCAAATTCCTTCAACCTTTCTTTGTATGTCAAGTCCTTCAACCACCTAATCATCTCGGTGGCCCTCCACTGGACTGTCTCCAGTTTTTCAGTGAAGTAAAAATTTTAGCCATCCCTCTGTAAAACTCATGAAAAAGAAAGGGCCCATTCTGTGTATGGGCTGCTGTATCAGACTGCACAACAGACTGAGGTTGGGTTGAGTAAGTCAGCTTAAATTTGCATTATGCCTGTAATGTGTAAATGCTTTAACTTTCTTTCAAGACACTTCTGAAGCAATAAGCAAACGTTATACCTTTACAACTCAGACTGGTTTAATTACCTATTTTTAAAAGTCAGTGAAAAAAATATTCTTGAAATGAAACTTTTTATACCAGTATACATTTTGCATTCATCTTTACAACTGCAATAAAGTTCTTGGCAAAGCCTTTGATGATTACAAGATAAAGAAACACAGTGTTAAAAGTGTTGCTGTCAAATTTTTGGACACAAATAGTGAATGTGGAAGATAAGTTGCAATGTAGTTTCATGAAGAATTTCAGAAAGTATCATGTTTTTTAGTTCTGCAGGTTTTAATATGAAACAAAGGAAATACTGTCAATTTACCTTTAAACTCATTTGAAATGAGCAACTTATTTTCTGTCTCCTCTTCTTCACACTCTTTGTTCTTTATGGAGTCCTTTGTTTGTAGTACTCCACTGAGGAAAACAAGATGTTCATTTTTTATTAATACATCATAAAAATCACTAAGCACGATGACATCTCTTGCTAACAATGCTATTAACACACCAGGATTCACACACAAAGGATGTTGTAGCATCATAAAATAAAAAAAAAAGAGAGGACCTAACTTCTGACTTACGCAGATGCCATGACTACTGGACATGAATTTTGCAATGAAGTCTCAAGAGTAGTGTAAACTAAGTTACATGAATCATATCAACACACTTCATAACTGAAACTGGAAAATGTACAAATGAAGGCAGTGGATGTGTCCACAGCAGAAGATGGGAAGAGTGAAGAACACATATATAGCTGCATCTCCTACAAAGCCTTACTGGTTATCCAGGCCATTTTCAGGAGCTGTCTGAAACAACGCTTACTCCTTTTTCTCTGCCCAACCTTCATCTTCACCCCACACCAACTCCAGCACTATATGGACACACTGTTGTGCAGCTGTTAATGATCCCACTGAAAATATCTGTATTCTTTTGTAAATGTTTTTGCATTACTTCTCATCCAGCTAAAAGAGCCGCTAGTTGCCTGCTGCCTGTGGCTGCTCCCTCAGCTCTGCCAGCCCAAACATTTGCAAAGAGGGAATGACTTCCCCCTATTGAGAAAAATGGGGCAAGAGAGGTGGAAACAAGTGAACTTCTCAAAGAGGGGTGGGGTGTATTTGCATCTTAAAAGTCAGCCCCTGGGAAGATCCTTTTCAAACTCTGCCTTCAGAAGGTATTTCAAGTCTGCTTTCTTACAGAAATGAAGCTTATATGAACTTGCTGACATTATCTGTGTATTTATTTCCTTCTGCTTTTGAGAACTTGACAACACTTTGGCCAGTTCTCACTAAACCATCACAGATGGTGAGCTCTAAGAGATTCTGAGCATGTAATGAACATTTTCTAAAAATAGGCACCAGACAATGGTCTTAAAGTCAAGACTACAAGAAAGCCCACTACACAAACTCATGCTTTACTATCTACCAGAGAAGCAGTCAACAAGAACCCCTTTACAAATGTCCCAAACACAGATAAAAAGCCAAACTAGAGCTAACACCTTGTTAGATGTCAAGATTAGCTAACCTCAAAACACAAATCCACAGAAAAACCAGACCTGTTTAAATCCATTGTTTACATTTATACTATTATATACAATCTATATATTAAATACCATTTATAGTATTAAATACAAGTAAGCATTTGGGAATAAATCAGCTAGGAGCTGCAAGGTCACTGACATCAACAGAAATATGTTCCACACACTACTAATGGTGCAAAATGAACACAACAAACCAGAAAATCCAGCCTTTGTAGTATGGTAGGGCACAAATAGTAATGGTATAACAAGCAAGGCCAGTGGAATGCATACAGCAGGCATGCCTTCTTGTGCTGTAAAGAACTTCTCCACAGTATCTTCCTCAGAAACATCACCTGCATTTATTTAATTTAAAATTATCTTCCTAACCTCCACAAACACAGAAAACTTCTAAAGTAAGATGCTACAAAGTAGTGCAATTAATTCCAAAGCCAAAGTAAATGATTACTGTAATTCAGCATAAGGAAGAGAGATCACCAAAACCTGTGAGGAAACATGTATCTTCCTATTTTCTTGAGGACAGTTTTCATAGCAACATACATCCAGAAATTTTATCTCACTAGTTAAATACAAGATAGTATCATGAATTGAAGGTTTTGGGGATGGGGTTGGAAGATAAATTGAATTTTCTTTTAAGAGGTAGTACCATTTGACTCCCAAGCCTGAGTGTTCACCTTCATTCCTTCATTGTAATTATTTCCAGAGTTGACTTCCTATTACAGTGAAATTCTTTTGCTACTCTGAAGATAGTATAAAGATACTTTCAAATTAAAATTGAATATGCTGTAGGCATGTAATTTTTATCTTGATTTTTAATCTCAGGAACATTCCAGAGGGACAGACTGCAGTTTTTACACACATATTTTTGCAAACCAAAATTTTCTAGTATAATGGTTTGTATGCACAGATACCTCTTACTAGTTAAAAAAAAAAAGGAAGATAAGGAGTAAGTGGAACTGGAGATTAGCTGAGTACCACTTAGATTTAACACAACAAAATAAATCTCATGGTTGGCTTCATATGAGGTTGGCTCCTCCATCAAGGGCTTCTATGAAACAAAAGATTACCTGGAATATGAAGGTATACACAACTGTACTGAAGACAAACATAATTAAATCCACACTACAAGCACTGCAGCTAAAGAACACGCAAGTATACGTATCTATGTCTTCAATTATGCACGTGTACTTTGACTACACATCTAAAAAGATCCACTGGGTATTGCAATAACCAGATGCTCAATATTTTATAGCTATAGCAGTTCATATATACCAAATGTGAACACTATTTTTCACACCTTTTTCAAAGGAAGTTTATTCATCTAAAAGTTCTATCTGACTATCATGGATACATAAAGAATGTGGAAAGCTAGATGATAAAATGCAGATAGTCATTGGTGTATTCAAACAGTTCAAATACAAACTGCAAAGCCTCTGGGTAGTTCAAAGTTGGCACAAGGCTATTATTCTCTTAATGAAAATGACTCAATACAGTGAACAGATAGCACATGTATTGGTTATTTTAGGTCTTCATAAAGATAACACCCTATAAAAAATGAAAGAAAAAAATTGTTCTTCAATTAATTTTAAGAGATAGTCTGTAAAGTCAAAGTTTATTTCTAAAAAAAGATGAATTTACTACAGCTGCGGTTAAAGTGATGAATGACAACTATTATTTAACAGAGGTTATTTCAAAACCACACACAAAACTGTCTTCTGTCTTTTTTTGCTGTTTAAATTCACTTGAGTATGACTAGTGAATGCTATTTATTTGTGGTATAGAAATTATATCAACACTGCCTGATGCTCCTACTAGACCTTTTTCAATACAATTTGACCACTATCACCTGACTGAAATAACGTGAGAGTGTTCTAAAGAAAAGCTGACCAATTTTAAAAGATGCAAAAAGCTACACATTAAATTTTATTTTGTTTTTTGATTAGTACAGGTTTTTGGAATAAAGGAAACAATTAGTTCAGAAAAGAAGAAAAAAAAATCTAGTGGAAAAAGGAAGGGAAATCGTAAAACACTGCCAGATCTGGTTAACCCAATTTGAAAAAAATTAAAAAAAAAAAAAAAATCTTGCAGAGGAGTTTCAGAGGATTTAATTGATTCTTAATAAAACAGTTAAGTTTCAATCATCAGCTTTACTGTGAGGTATTTACCGTATAATACTAACTCTCCAAAGTCTCTCAAGACACTATTATTGCTAACACTACAGTTCACGTATTATGAACATATGATAATGTAGCTGATGTAAATATAAAACAAATGACACTTCTGGTTCCAGGGTGTCTTCTATTTCTGTACAAAAATAGCCAATAAAATAATGCACTGATACTCTAACTAATTAAAAATGTAGGGAACTCTATTGCCTCACATATCCCTATGAAAACACTGAATCGTATCTTCGTAGTTTCAAAGATGGCCTTTTTATACCATAAATATTATTTTCCAGTGCAAGCTTGGAAACTACCTCATGACATTTTTTGTCAAAAAGATACTGCAAATCCTAGTTAAGGAATTACTTCTCATTTTTAAATGTAGGTACATATTTGTACATATACAATAACATATTTGTACACAGAGGCAGGGAAGAAGGATCTCAACTTTCAAACATTTCTCTGTCTTGTAGTATTTTTCCTCTCCTCTCTGATATGCATTTCTTAAATACATTGTGACACTCCCTTCCCCCCTATTTCTAATATAATGACAGCTGCAGAACTTCCATGTCCTTCCCCACTGCTTCCAAGAGTTCCACGGACAAATCACTGTACTGCATTGCCTGGTAAGTTGTATTTTAAACGGACCGACTCCAAACAACGTGTACTTTGAAAGGAACTTATAGTTACCCAGGTGCTTTCTTTTCTTTTACATCACATAACAGGGGCTTCTTGCTAGGAGATTTACTTTCTGCATCTTCCTGCTTAGTTGTTTCTGGTCCAGTTTTCCCAGATGATCGATTGTGAGCTGAAGATTTCATACCTACATGACCAGGGCTGGGGCATTTTCTGTCACTGTTTAAAACAAATTAACAAAATGTTTAAAACTGAAAGCAGCTGATCTGTTGTTCAACTTATTTTCTCTATGGGTAAAGAGTCCTTAGATTGAAGATAGACAAGGGTTTTGTTTGTTTTAAGAAACACAGAAGTTATCTGTTACCAGCAAAATTGCATACTTGGGATTTTTAGAAATCACAATACAGAAATCACTCTCTTCCCCATGAAATAAAAGGTAAAATGTTTAGGCAATTCAACAGGAACAGAATTTGCCTAATGTTATTTTTGATAATAAGCTATCTACTTCAAATATTTGTAAAACACAAGAAAAGTCTGAAGTATCATTTTCCTCCTATCCCTTCTCTCCCTTCCATGATATAACCGCTGTGCAGCCAGGACCCTTTAAAAATGTTATGCAGTCTCTTCATTGGGACAATGAAAAAAGTAGCACTTGACACAGTCCCTGTCACAGAGAACATTGCTCAAACTGCTGCGGGCTTCACTGGAATGGTATCCACGCTACCTGTCAGAGGGTAATTAAGTCACTTCAGATTTCTACAACCCTACATTTATAAGAACAATCAAACCAGGCAGCGCTCTTTGGCAGCTGAATATTTTGGTTTTTAAAGCATGAAGCTGAAACTGTCACTGAGAAAATAAAGGTGCAGATCTTGGTGGTAGTAGCAAATATTCAAACGAGAGCTTTGAAGGCCGAAGTGGAGCAGGGTTCCATGTGAACAGCAGTTGAACATGGGTCAGTCGGTCCTAAGCAACAGGCGAGCGCCTTGAATATACCATCTATTGAAAATACGTGTTCATTACAGTGGGAACTGGAAATCTTTACTACGAACATTCCCATTTTCACATTTACATTAACGTAGCCCTTGAAAAGAATGGAAAGCCTCTCTTCTTTTCCTTTCCTTCTTAAATTCTCTATGTATCTCCACAGCCCAAAATAAGCACAAGAGTCAGTGTCCACAATTTCTGATAGAAAAATCATAATCTGAAAATCATAATCTTGGTATCACATCCCTTTGGTTTTTCCCAGTGCTCCTGCTAGAAGCTTCGTCTACAGACTTTAGCATTGTTTTTGCAAAACCCGCTCCCAGTAATTTGATTCCCCACTCCCACAATAATGACACAATTTATAGTGACTGTTCTTCAAAGAGCAACCTTAATTTACAGTCACATCAATAAGGCCACCCCAGCAAACAAAAGAAAACACAAATAAATCATTTTCTTACATGAAACCAACTGGCAAACATTCCATTTTAAATTCCACTTAACCACTTAGTAGTCTAGATAGTTATACTGAAGATGAAATTGAACTATTGTTAAATCATACACAGTAAAATCAGTATCAGTCTTTGATAGCTTGGTGACCTTCTCTATAAGCACTGATGAAACCATTTCTTTCCTGTACCTGACAATGCAGATAAATAGGCAGGCCCTTCTGAAACCATTCAGCCATTACACAACTACAAATTACGTTGCAGAACACTGAAATAAAGTACTGCTGTTAGTCAGACATTGCTTCAATCATAATTACTTGATTACAGGAGAGGTGGATCTTTCACTTGCTTCCACTTTTCTGTTTCTGGGGACAAGACTGGCTGCAGGCATCTCCCCGCTCAACCGGTCAGGTAAGAGGCTTTCTTTGTTCAAGTTCATCTCTGAATACGGGCAGCTGACTGCACTAGAAGTTGAAGAAGAGAAATGCCTCCTTATTCTCAGACACTTTACTGACTTCACTTAGTACAAATGAAATGACATCAGAGACCAGTTTTTTAGAACCAGATGCAACCAATTAATATAAAGATTAGAAAAAAATGCACTGAGTAGTTATACTTTAAAATGTTAATAAATCCATTGATTAAAACCTTAACGTTTTTTGCATTTCCTTTTGACAACTATCTATGTAACATAAAAGTATTAATTTATATTATAGCATACATTGTGGGAAATTGCTTGATGGAATGTTTAACCTGCTCTCTCATACCTTTAATGGTTATTTTATACATAATACACAGGCAATAAATGCCTTTGACTATACCCACCTCTCTCCAAACAAAATCATATTCCCATGATTATTTTTCCTGCAAAGGAGAGCATTTCTATTACGTAATGTCCACACAGAACCTGCATTGCCAGGGCACAGTACGAGGAATGCTGCACATCCTCTTACTGCAGCAAATGCCCCATCCTTGCAAATGACATTTTGTGATATTCCATTAAAAGACTGTGATATTTTCAGTCTTTTCTGTCATTCAACACTCCCTATTTCACTACACTCCAACTAGAGAAAGAGAGAATTTGACACTGTGCTTTGATAATGACTTGTAAATACTACTCTAACAAATACGAAAGTCATACCTCCCACAAGAGGTAGGAAAGGGACGAACAGCAACACAAATCACACTGGTCTGAACTAGGATTTTGCCTTTAGAAGAATGCAGTGCAACGGTCAACTGATTAGTCAGGCTACATACTCAACTTCAAAGACAATATCCCAAATTCTGAATGGTATATATATGTCACAACAGTGAATAACAACATGCTCAGTTTTCAAATCTCTATTTACGATCTAGGAGAGGCTCTATACATAATGCTCTATTTGTGGTTCATGAGCCATGACACTAACTGCAATCTAAAATTATGCCTTCCTACTCACCTGTATTATTACAAGGACCTCTACAATGGTAAAATGTAAAAAACCCATGTCCTGGGATCTTGTTTATTTTCTTTGCAAGAATATAACTATCTGCCTTTCCATAAAGTACTGCAATGTTGTATTTGCTTCACTGATTGTTACATGCATGATTTCCAAACAGTACTGTCTAATATAAACAAGTCTAGCTTGCGAGCCATATGCCCTGCCACCTCCAAATTACAAAAACTAAATAGAAAACCAACAGATTCCATTATCATGTTCATTTTACAAAGCACAGAATAAAAAAAGGCCTTTTATTCAAAATATGCCATACATTCTCCTTCTCCTTTACGGATGAAGCTTTGGATTCACAGTGTGTATGAATCAACTTCTATCACCAGACTGGACCAATATTAGTAATCTAATTTTGGTCTTGGCAACATAAACAAAAAGTTGATGGAAATTCACATTTCTCTCAGCATTAGCGTAAAAGAAGAATTCCTTAAGGCTGCACAGGCCAAGTCAGTCAATACTTTCTGGAGTTACTGAGAAGGGAGTCCAATTTTGTCTTGATTCTGTCAGTTGGTTCATCTGAAAACAAGACATTATCAACTTTTTTTTTTAATCCTTCTATAGCTGTGTTGAACTTGAATTATGGAGGAAAAACATACCAGCAGAATATGATTTCTGCTTTTCTAATCAAGATGAGATCCCCGTTTAAGGCCATTCCAAGCAGATGGTGTTCCACAACAACCTGTACAGTGTTTTCAAGGGACATACAGCCAGCCACTCCTAGAGGATTGACACAGGACAGTTACCTTTGCTTTCTTCCAAGGAACTGGGTGATAGCTCCAGCACCTCCTCTGAGATACAGGCACTGAAGTTTTTTGCCATGAGAACCTTGATACCAGAACTTTACATAGCAGAGTAAGATATAGCCAAACGGGTAGCTGGACACTGAAGCACTACACGTGAAATAGGGTATTATTTTTGTTAATGAAAATGTTTTAAAGACATGGAACAAAATATACAAAGAAAAACTTAACTTGGAGCACTTTTATTTCTAATTTCTCTTAAGCAGAATTTGGCATTTTATTTTAGATTTATTCATATACCTCTACTTACATTTATTTTTCAACCTACTGGTTTTGTCTGTCTTAGGACTAGCCTCTGTCTGACATCTTAAAGAACAAAAAAACATGAACTGAAAGATGGGGAAGAAAAGAGGAACACTAGGAAAGAGGGGAAGTTGTTTTATATTCTCAATTCTTTATATTGCTGCACTATCACAATAATGTCTTTTTTCCCTTTCAAATGAACTACAAGATGAAAGATACAGGCTTCTATTAGAAAAAGGTTTTAAGGAGCCAGTGCTTGTGGGATTTATGTTCTTGCTGTGACAAAGTCATACTGCTGTGATGAAATACAGTCATCAGAAACTCAGGAATATGTTGGTTAATCTCAGTTCTGCCACTGCTGTAAGGCAAAGCATGTAATCTTCTTTTGGCATCCCATGCTCACAGGGGTGTTTTGAGGCCTAGTGTTTTTAAGCAGTAAGCGGGTTGTCTCAAGGAAACACTAAACACTACCAGTGTGGTATTTAACTTCAGTTGTGTATTATTAAACAAGCCTTACACCTTACACCACAAAGAAATCTGAGAATATAATTTCATCTCCAGCAGGTCTTCTGTTTACCAACACCATTAACATGTTTTAAATCAAAAAACAAGAAAAAGCCTCTAAAGTCAGCCCTTCATTAGAACTTGCCTGTTTATATACTGCCTTTTCCTTTAGTATTTTCTGGAAAAACAGAAGTTGAATGACAATTTCAGTCAACAATAGTTATAATATTAACGATGCTTTAGAACACAAGATTCAGATGAGTTTTTCTTTGTAATTAATCATTCCAGTTCCTGTATCATTTTTAAAAAACTCCTTGACAGTCCTTTGATGTTACTATTACTTGGGGCAACAAAAAGAACCCTCAAGGTTTCCACTGGTAGCTTTGTTTCAACAAAACATGAATGAACCTGTATATGAGTTACATGGCTTCAGATCAGTCAGTAAATACTCCCGAATCTCAATGCCTCCAGCCTTCATTTCAGTTTAACTTGTCTACTAAAAAGACTAAAAAATTAATCTTGTTATTCCTACATAACAGAAGTTATTGATTTATATAGGACTGTAAGTTTCAGAGACAACTCATCTCAAGGGCTCAGAAGTCTTGATGTTTAGGTTATTTAATATTATATTAGGATTTTTAACTCTTCTGTCAACTTAAACCTGGATTTCTGCTCCAGCTTGCAGTTTGCCTTAGCACACTATTTTGAAAACAGCACAAGTTCAGAACTCAGTTTCCAAAATGATCAGACGTCCTTGACTTGGGGGTACCAAGGTCTGCCAGAGGCACAGGGAGCACGGCAAGAAGTGGAAGCAGCAGCAGGTACCCAATTTGAAACCTCCACTATACATCTGTCAGGGCTGTACATCCTCCAGCGCTGCTTCACGACTTTGAAGCCGGTCCAGCACGAAGATACTCAGTCATCATCTGAGCTGCTTCAGTAGGCTCAACCCATGTTTCAGTAAACAAATATTCACAATAACACTACCCAACCCCCCCACACAGGAGAGTAATCAGCCATCTCTAAATGTGGAAGGATCAACACAGCACAGCAATTAGCTATCTGCTGTACACTTTACATCCTACTGAAATGGCAGCAGAGTGGCTGGCAATACACACGTCCATAACGCAGTTTTCTGAGGAAAGAGAGCCACTGTTTCCAGAGTCTCACATAGTCTGAGTAGAAACTGAGCACTAAAATAAGCTTCTGTTTTTATCGAATGAGGAAAGATCATTAAAGGAAAAACCCAATGCACCAATTACTACTTCTTGTACACCATTCTGAAGAATTTCCAGGATCACAGGCCTGGGATTTTCAGGTGAACAGAGGTTTTACATAATCAGCCCTTTCCAGAACTGTCCAACGGAACAGAAGTATCAAGATAGCATATCCCATTTGTGGTTATTTTGCAGCTGCTATTCTATCTCTCTCACGATCTCTCTCTAGGTAGGTTTACACACATATCTTTTTTCTCTAAAGTTCAACAGTAGTAAGATGAACTGGGCTACTGATGGGTGGGCATGGCCCTTAGTCTTCTCCAGACATCTGGCGACGCTCCTGTCTTCTAGTAGTATGCAGTTTCTGAAGCACAGGGTCCAACTGGATTACTCAGCCTCAGCTACACCTAACATCAGAAGGGTGCATAAGCCAGCATTCTCTCCTAACCTGAAGAAAGAGTAAGGTGGTAGTCTGTTTGGTTAAAGAAAGTTAATACTAAGGTATTTTTTAAGATAGATTATTAATCTGTATGACTGCTTGGGATATTTTGCAAACCTGTGTGAAGCCACAGGCAAGTCTCCTGGTTTAGCTGTACTGGTTGGAAATGTTACCAACCCCAGCTCCTCATTGCCCTTCAGGTGCAGGTTATTGCCAAGCACTGCCAGGGGATGAGGTTGTATGGAGCTCCAGGAAAGTTCACCCGGATTTGCTCAAACTACCTGCCTTGATAGGTTAAACAAATAGATTGGTCTAACTAATAGATTAGACTTTATCTAGAGCAGCCTATGTCCAGATGACCACATCTGCTGGTAGTGATATGCGATTAGTAAGCAACCTCCATCAAAAAGGTCCTGACAACATCTGGGGAATGTATTCTTTTTTTCTGCCAGATTTTTGTTAAGTGATGTCTTTACTTCAGTTGACTTTATGAAAACATTTTTAACTACTCTGGAAACAAGTGATATAAATGTTCCCTTTCACAATTTGCAACATGTGTTTATCATCAAAGCATTCTTTTTTAGGAGAAACCTGCTCAACAATTTAAACCTGACTCAAGTAGCTTATAACAGATTTGGCTGGGGCCAATGACCTTACATAAAAGATAGAACGAAACTTGAGACTGGCATCAAAATCAGACGAGAATTACATCAGCAGACACTGAACAAATAGATGTGACATCCTGCTGAGCTGAGGTTTCCTACGTTTCTGCACTGCAGTTCTCTTACAACACAGCCTCCACCACAGCACATTCAGATCATTTCAACTTACACCATAATGCATGTAAAGTTTCTGGTAAAAATCTTTATTCATGGAGAGTTGACCCAAAACACTAATTACCTGTTTACAACTGACCACTTTGCATTCCTGCTTGAACTTGAAAATTATTGCATGCATTAAGCATCAGAGAGCACACAATTCACAATCATAAATATGCAGGTGATCTGCATAATGCTACCAATCTGCACATCCATCTTAGTTTCAACTGCACAGCAGAAAACCCTAGATCAACTGGTGACAGATACCAAGTCCTTCTTAACATCAACTTTTCCAAAAAGTAAATGCTTTAACCCCACTACATAATTAATCACTGAGGCTTTCATCTGGTTCCTAAGGAACAAGCTTTCAAAATTATTTCAGAACTACTTAGCATTTTAAATTATCATCTTTTCTGCACACAGGCATTTATGCTGTAGATAGATGTTGTACCTCATCATGCAAAAAAAAAGATAAGTATGGTTAAATACATTTCAAGGTTGCCAAGATAAAAGAGCCAAGGGACTGCTACCTGACATGGATAATTATACCAATTTCAAAATGTCTTTGTTAATTCAGGAAAAAAGTGATGGTACAACATTAGAACTTTTGTGGTGACCTGGACCCTCAAGTCTGTAGACTCCATGATAACTAACAAATCTCATTATTTTCCTCAGAAATGCTCACAAAAAACCCAACAATACCAGCACAGAGGGCAAACCAATATAGTTAGTGAGTAAGATACTTAACAGTGTTAATTTATTTGCTATGAAAGAGCAAATGCCTGTTTTATGCTCAACAAAATCTCTTTTGTTATATTTTTACCCCTAGAACTACCTGTTAAAATGCAAATAATAGATTGCTAAGACTGTAGTAAAAATAAAACACAACGGAGTGCCATGAGTTTCTTTCTTTTCTTAATATTCAGGATGAGTAAGCGTAACAACTTTAAATACCATGGAAAATCTAGTTATAAAAGCAAAGACTACATGAACTAACTAGACATACAGCTCTTACTCATCCCTTCCCTGTGAAACATTAGCAGTTTTAGTGCCAATATGTAGAGAGATCATAAATTAAAAACTTTTCTGACATTCACTTAGGTTGGTTTTTTTGTTTGTTTAAGTTTCAGCCTTGGGCTAAGAAAGGGTATATTCAACTGATTCTAAGCAACTGAGAGAGCACATGGTAAGGAAGATAATACTCTGAATTGGAAGTGATTGCCTTACAGACCAGGTGCATTAATAAATCATACAAGACTCAGGTCTACTGGAACATGAAATAAAACAGGTTTCAGCTAAGCAGCCAGGAAGCTTTTTAGGCAAGCCTAGTTTACTTCACATTTGCAGTGGACTAAGAACATGAATGCAGTACATTACCAGATGCTAACTGAAGGATGGTAATCTCTTTAAGTACTAACTTGACTGTTTAAGGAGTTATCCTGCTGATTGAGTGCTACAAAGCTTCTCAAAAGGTAACGTAGAAAAACTGAAAAAAATAAACCAAAGAAAAAGAACATGGACAGAAAAAGACAAAAGGAAAAGGGTGAGAATAATCTGAAAGACAGCAGCGCAGCATACTGTGTCATGACGACACTACCACCAAGTTCATACTGCAACAGGTTTTGTCACTGGAGCTAATCTAGCCACGTCCATTCCCAGAGATAAAGCTTGCACTAGTATCAGGAGTTCTTCTGCCTCCTAACAACATAAACGCAATGCCTCTGCTGTAGATAGAAAAGAACTTCTTGCAGCAAAAGATGCCTTTTGCACATTAAACATGTAATAACAGTGAGTTTTGCTGGCAGGTATCTTTGTTAGGGATGAGTCAGGACTTCAACTAGTGCTGATACACCGTCAAAACCTTGTAGCATAATTCTAGCCAACAGGATGTAATTCTCCCACCAAAAACATTAAAAGATTGTAGAGCTAACTCTTGGACCACAGTAGTTTAATAACATACTTAAAAAACATGAATAGACAAATAACCAAAGAGCAGTCCTCTAACCATATGACAGCAGAAAGCACAAAGTGATACGACATTCGAGGATTGTATGACACTGTAATGGAAAAATTCCAAGAAAAATTCTGAAGCGCTCATTTGCAAAAAGGTACTGGGATGATATTTATGATACGTAATTCTCAACTTAATGTTACATTAACTGTATATCCCTTACTGAAGTACTCAGGATTCACCCTCATACTGTAACTATTTTAAAAATAATGAAAATTTGACTTGGTAAATGTTTCCCATTTACTCTGTCATTGTCTCTCTGTCCCCCATTCTGTTCTCCCATTCTACTGCTCTCCCTATGCCAACTCTCCTCTAGGACAGCTTGGGATGTCCACATTTCTGTATTATATTTCTGAAGGTGTTCAACAAAAGCATCTGTAGAAACACTAGGTACAAACAGCAAGTTGTTCAGGCTGTCATTTGGGAATACGTCAACAGGAATTTCCTTTTTAGCATTTTTGCAAGCCAACTAGCAAACCCTCACCCCTGCCATCCAAGCAGAACAAAAACATCCAAGCCATAATAGAATTAGTGGCCTCATATTTCAGAAGGTTCAAAAGTTATTTCTTTATACATATCTCTCTGTAACATTTTGCAATCCGGCCAGCAAGCTGTGGAATCCTCACAGGACCAAGATACAGAGTAGCTGAATCTATCAACTGTGATAAAAAATGATGTTCGACAAATCTTATCTCTGGTGAAATGAAGCTGGAGATTGCTAATGTTTATTTCAGCATGCTCACCATGGCAACTGAAATCATTGCATATTTAGGTTTACATGATTTTTTTTTTTTTTCCAGCTTGGATCTGTTTTCTTGTGAACAACAATTAAAAAAAACATGGGCACACATCACTCAATTGAAAGAGTAAAATTACAGTTTCATAGCACATACCTATGATGGCCGATATGTCTTGCTCTTTTAATGTGCCCAACTCCTTTACATCCTGCGGTGGGACACCCTCCATTCTCTAAAGCTTCCACCAATTCCAAAGGACCTGCATGTCAGGGGAAATTACATATGAGATTAAAAAAAAGTATCTAATCTTTAAAAGTTACATAAATATGCAGGAATACCAGAGTATCACAGTAAACATGGAGAAGAAATAAGCAAACAAAACCTAATTTTAAAGTACTTTAAAAATGCATTCTGCAAAGGCATGATGGAGATTCAGACAACCTAATCCACCAGAGAAATAATATCATTCTGTGAGTAAATCTCTACAGGAGATCTACATCTATGTAAAGAATGCAAATCTTAGAGGAACTCTATGACTTCAAATTTCTCTCCTATTAACTACCTGTAGCTGGAACCTGGTTGTTTTGCAAGAACACAGACGCTTTAGTTACCCTGCTATTCCCAAAGATAGGGATCTGTTTGTAATAGGTATTGACCTTCTCCATTTTTAGCTCGAGTTTTCCAGTGAACAAGACGTGAAAACAAAGGCTGAAAATACTACTAAAAAGAACAAGCCATAAGGAGATTTTTGACATTTTTATTTATCTGAATTTGTAAGTCTATCTGGTTCTCATCAACCTGTAACAATGATGCCTGCAGAGACATTAAAGCATGTAGCTGTCAAAACTAGCTTTGACGTTCAAGCAAACATAGTATATAACCCATAGCTTCATAGCAAGTGAGAGACAGATCTACTCCAGTATATGAAACTGAGAACACCTCCTGCACATCTGCACACATGCACTGCCTCTCTAGTACTGGTTTTACTGGAAAAGTAGATGGACTTGTATCTCCCTCTACAGATAACAATACTGACATAAAAAGGTCTACCTAAATAAATTTTCCTAGATGAAAGATAGGTTCTTGCTCGCAGATGGATAATGAAAGATGGAGAAGTATTATGTATAATTAGGACAGTCCAAAAGCATTTTTTAACAAATGTTCCACTTATGCTAATGTTACAATACTATGACTACACTTAAGTCCAAAGACTTCTATAGGCTTTAAAATGGTGTAATGGATGAGAGAACAGAGAATTTTATCTTTTCTACCTTTATGCAAAATTGATGCCTATAACATAACAAGTTGGTGGACTTGGAGGGAGACTTAACCTAATAGGGATGCTTTTGAAAGGGAAGTCCTGCCTCACTGATACTCTAGTTTTGCAAAAACTAGCTCCCTACAAATGGTCTCTCTTCACTTAAATTCAAACTCTCTAAAAAATGTAATTTAAAAGAGCTACAACTGGCTGTCCATATTTATGCAAGAAGCTGCTACTTACGTCACTGTGAAACAATATTAAAATCAACACCAATACATGGCTCTTCATTCCCTAACTGCTATCAGAAAGTTCATAATCCACCATGATGGCTTCACTACATCTTAAGAGAAAACACTATGAATACATAAATACTGGGAGAATAAGACCATTATGATAACTGCTCTAGACTAATATTGCTAACATTGTGCAGCGTTCACACAAAGCTTCCAGACTGAGGAAAAAATATTGTGCCTTGCAAAATATTTTCTTCCCTCCTTCTGAAACCTTTTCACAAAACCTGAAATGCACTTTAACTGACTTGGAAACAATATTAGCATTTTTATAATATTCTATATTCTATACCATATTCTACAGGAATAACACAAAGTCATATTGTTGGAAGAATGTAATATTCAGCAATCATCCTATTTTAATAGTATTTGTGCAGTTAATTATTCTTTTTCTATTTAATGGACGTTTACTTTCCCTCCTGTCACATTGTCCATATTTGGTTTTGTAGCTTAACTAGTATCAAAAAGTCACTTCCACCAGTCACATGCTGAAAGAGATGAACAATGCCTCCTATGCCATCACCTAGAGGAGATGATGTGTTGTATGTGACGGGCATCTGCATTTTGTTTCTTTTAATGTCTCCAACAAAATGAATGTATGTGTGTTATACTCCCACCTAGGCTAAGATTTTTTTTTTTTCAATTTTAGGTAATAGAAATGTCGCAACCTTATTCAGCTCTTTTGCCATATGATACAATTTTTATTTATGTGGCTACCAACTACTTTTTCCCACTGGACTGTTCCTTCATTCAGTACACAGGATGCACATCTCAGATTAAGAAGATATCCAGCATCCTATCTTCTCCTCATTATTCACTCTGTGCTTTGGCACTTACGGCACTCTATTCAGACTCTCCTTTGAAGGCAGAATGATTAACTTCCTAACAGGCAGTCATCACTGTACCACTGGAGTGCTCAGAAAACTTATGAATATATTCTGATCATGGTCTTGATAGGAAACATTTCTTCTTGACATTTTAGAGACGCTGAATTGAGGTACAGAAATTTTCAGGTAATACGTTCACACAATCTGTGTGTGCCTTATCCCAGTTATTTTACATTTAATTTTTTCAGAGTACTTGGCATTGCTCAGCATTTCTTGTTTTCCAAGCACAGCTCTTTCTGATCTCAGTTACAGCTGTGAACACTTGGCACTTGTGCAAACCATACCTCAGAGTCACAATATAAAACAATCCCAGAGAAGAGCACTCAATTAGAAAACATCTCTTCAAAGTTTGGCTAAAGTGATTTCACTACCATTATCCAGAAACACAATGGCATAGGCAGGGATATGCTTACCACTAAAGTCTCTTCTCCCTGCAACTTTCGGTCATTTATGACAGACCTCCCACTTCTTCAACAAGTAAAACAAAATCCCCAGAGAGAGCAAACTGGTAAATAGAGTATTATTGGTAACATGCCTCTGTTAGATTTATCTTCAATGTGGGCACCATTAAACCCTCTTTGCTCAGCTGAAGAAAAAAAAGGAAGTTAGCTGGTTTTGAGGATTTGCCACAGCATCTGAAAGGAGTGCCTTCTCAGTGCAGTCTGGACTCCTTTGGGCTAAAAAGCATACTAACCTTCAAGAGGACGTGGACAGAAGATTTTAAGAGTAATACCCTATCCCAACTGAGCGCCACAGCAGTTTCATTACTGGCTTTGAGAGGGACAGGATTTTATGCAACAGATCTTTATCACTACTTCGGGTTTTGACTGTGGGTTCTTATGCATACAGAGAAACATTGTATTTCCATTACAGTAAGGGTCAATAAAGCTATCTACTAAAAAGTGATTAATTACTGACTGTTGATTTTGCACTAAATGTCACATTTACATTGTTTTGCATATCGTAGTTGCTACTCTTCCTTGGATGGAACTGGCAGAGAAGGAGATAGCACAGTCCATGTGCCTTTTAACATCATTACATTATAATGTGATTTCTCTTACTAAGTGGGGGCTGAAGAGGGTGTCCGGTTTTTGTACACCAGCCTGCAGGATGGATATCAGGGCTATCTACATCAGTCCAATAATCATAAATACCATCCCAGCCGTCAAAATGGACCTAAAATCAAAAAGGAAAACAATACATTTTAGATCAGAAAAATTCTCTATAAAATTGGTTTCCCTAAGTAATCTCTAGAAATGACATGTCCATTACAGTAGTCACTTTAAGACAACTATCGATGTTACACAGAAAATACATGTACATTAGATTCTGGACCCAGACATACTCTCACTGAAGAAAAGAGAGAGGTGTCATCTGGTTGTTTACTATGTCTTGCATCATCAGGCTCAAATCCCAGGAATAAAGCAGGTAAATTTAGTTCTCACATTAATACTTAAATTAAGCAAGAATTTCTGCCTTTTTTCTCTCCCCCCCCCCCCCCCCAATTCAAACATTTTTTAATGTCCTGTTTGACCAGGATTTAATAATAGCAGAGCAGTAAGCAAAGGCCTAAAAAAATGGCATTTATACATAAAAAAAACAAACAAAAAACCCCAACATACAAGTAACAATTTTACTAAAATTAGACCATACAGGATAAGGAGTTGAAACTGAAGAGAAAATGAAGTATGTGACTTCCCAGAAAACCACTGGTATGGGCTACACATGCGTTTTTTTCAGGTAAAAGCTAAGTATCTTCAAATCTTACTTGACCTCTCCACTAGTAAATAGCTGAGATCTCTCATGCACGCAGGTGGATGCATGTACACACAGATACATACAGAGCTCTTTCAACATATGCTACAGAGTCAAATTACCACCCTAGAAACTACAAATCCTGTCATTTTAATAAATTAGGCTGGGGAGGGGTTTTTTTTGTTTGTTTTGGTTTTGGTTTTTGCATGACCAAAAAAGTTTAGGTAGAAAATGTGTAGGTGTGAAGATATTAGTTCTGATGACTCCCTACCACCAGTTAATTCAGATTCAAAATGAAATGTCAGCTGCATTTCTGCTTGAAATACCATGTATGCCTAATAAATCTGTACAAACTGCAAACACAAATATCCTTCATATCCATCTAACTGGATATCTGGAATATGCTAGCCCTTTTAATGGTTAAGGGCTTCAGAGAGTAAACTGGTTTTGTACAATAAAAGAAAAATAATTCAAGTATACAACTTCCAGAAAACTGCAATTTCTTTAAAATACATTATCTGTGATTAATCCAATCTAAAGTCAATAATTAATATAAACTTCAGAACTGCAGAAGTCACTGACAAGACACAAGAGATCAGGGTTCTTTTTTTATTTCTCCCTTATATCTCTCTCCTTTCCCTGGAAGTTTATAGAGACAAGTTCAATTAACCTAGGCCAAATATTCTATGGGCCCTAAAACAAATATCACAGCAGCCCTTTGACACTTGATATTAAATGATCACATTTCTTGATAGAATAGACAACTGTTTTATATCAACTATTCCCAAAGCAATTTTTGAACACATTCAACTCTGCTCTCTAACTACCTACGTCAGCAAATATAACTAAGAGGATAATATAACAACCCGTTCCAAAGGAATTATATGCATATTAATCAGTGAAAAGCTTAGCAGGACACAGCAATGTGACTCGTTTCCTCCTGTGCTTAATTTTACAACTACAGGATTTTGGTTTTATAAAGTAGTCATCAGTCACTCAAGCAGGATAGTACAGCAAGACAGAAAAACTTACTTTTATTCTATAGTCATCAGTATCTACGATAGTTGCTACTCTGATAAATACTGGATTTCTCTTGTCAACCACTTCAAGTTTCATGTTTTTCTGAAAGCCATGAGAAGGTTTCTAGAAAAGAACAGTATTACAAGAAACAGAAGAAAACCTCAAAAATCTCACAAAACTGTAAAGTATATAAAATACATAGCAAACTTTCTGCTTTCATTTTCTCAAATCTGCTCTCCCCTCCAACAAATCCAAGCATAAAAAGATTATTCAAACCAGTGTTACTAAACTAGAGAAATAAAGTAAATACTGTGGGATTCCAGGTTCTCCATTGAAGCCCTCCAAGCAAGTAAGTAGGAATCTTTATTTTACATCAGTTGAGTTTTTTCCTAAATTCTCTAGAAAAGTTTTCCCAAGATTTTGGCCATCAGTTTCAATGCAGTGTTGAATGAAGTATTACATACCAGCAGCCTGAAATGTCTATGAAATTGTCTACAGGAAATATATTTGTGGGTTTTAGTATGTATTTTCGCTTTGTGGATCAAACACTCTTTTTTGGTCTCCTACTGAAAACATAACTAATCCATGGTATAACAGCAAATACTCACTCAGAACCAAACAGGACCAAATACCTGGTTTGTAATACTGTTTTGGCAAAAAAGGTGTCTCTGTTAGGAGTATCAGATTTTATCTTTGCCATCTACAGCTATGAAATCTAAAGCAAAAATTATTTCCATTTTAAAGGAACATATGCACAAGACATGTTATGGTTTTTATTTTAGATTTCTAGGAAAATAACGTTATCTGTCTCTCTAAGACTTTCCAGAACATCAGTGTTTTTTCCTCAGCTGCAGCTTAAGAACTCTTATTTTCTCCCATAGTACAATATACTGTGGCTGTCTCAGGAAGCCTTCACCCAAACTCCAACACAATCAGTGGTTTATTCCCATTAAATATTTCTTATTGTTTAATCACAATTAGCATGAATATGGTTACCATTATATTAGTACAGAAAGCAGGGAGGGGATTTTCTCTGGCTGTGAAACCAAAAGACAGAGCACAGCTGACTCCATGCAGTCAAGCTCTCCTTCCCTTCCATCCTCAAAGCCAGATGACCTTGTCTATGCGACCTTTTGGGACCTACACCATCCCTAGCCGCTCTCTGCTAGCATGGTTTCTGGAACAGTGTTGAGCCATGACAGCTAGTGCTCCCTCAGTTTAATGCTGTCAATGCCTGCGCTCTTGTGGCATGTCCTTTTCAGTTTCCCGGTGCAGACACAGCCAGCTGGACCCTGTGGGCCACTGGTGGGGTGTTCCAAGGGCCGAGCCCTGTGGTGTGGCTGTTCCCTGAATGCCAGGGGGAGAAATTAAAACATGGATGCTCTGAGAGATAAAGAAAATGTTTGCTTTTAGCTTGATGCAGTCAAGGTCACAGCCCTCCACTGTTTTGCCATGGACTATACCTCCCAGATATAACCCAATACCTTTCTAATCCTTGCTCTAAGTCTTCTTGCTGCAAACGTAACACTGAGACCCATTATTAAGCCAGACATGTTTTGGAGTGATAAACTGCAGGTCAGTAATAAACTCTGGTGATCTACTGACCCCAGGAACTGCTATGAGCACCACATTTCTGCTTTCATTAATCCAGCTTTTAGCAAAGTGTTATTCAGAATTAGTGACCCTAATCTGAAAAGCCAAGGCAAACCAGCTTCAGCGCGCTGTGAGACAAGGGGCTGGGAGCTACCAGCCATCTGACGCGGGTTCCTAACTGCAATCCTTTCTGCGTTAACTGACCAGTCCGCTTTCCTCACTGAAATCCTAAGAGCTCAGGAAAGATGGGTGTCACTGAAAGAATCTAGCAAGTACGAAGCTAAAAGAAAAGAATGTTGCCCACAAACACCATAGTTAAACTGGGGAGCTACCTGTAGATGCTGCCCATGTACCCTAGTCACAAGTTCGCAGAAGAAAAAGTCTACTGAAGGGTATTAAATACAAACCCTCTCTCTTGGCTACTGCCAGAGGCAATGGACTAGATGGGCAATGAGACTGACCTACAATAATTTTTACATTCTCACTGTATTTATTGCACCATTTAAAATGTACAGATAGAAATACATAGGTTCAAAATATGTTATGATGACTCAGTAGCTATCTCATTATTTCTAATAACTAGGCAGTCATTTCCCATAGTAAATTACATTCATTAGTAGTATTTCATAGCACTTAACCCCATTTATAATGATTAAAATAATAAAGTAATAGTGATTTATAATAATAATTATCTGATTTCTGACAGTGAACTCCAAACTTGCATAAAAATAAACCACCTATTATGCAACTAATTAACTGGATACATTTAGAAACATAAGAACACCATATATGTATTCTCTTCTTAAACTAATTAATTATATACACTTAAAAGCATGAAAAAAATAGAAGCATTTTCTCACCACTTTAAAAGCCCTTGCAGGTGCAGGTAATGAACTGGTTTCTTCCAAATACTTCTCCCAAGAAAAATGCTTAGCATGTGGATAATCTGGCACAGAAGAAATATGAGCAGAATTAAACATAGCAGTGCAAAAAATAAAATTGGTATCTAATTTACAGAATGCCTAACGCTTTCTATTCTAAATTGTCTCTGACACATTCACCATGTAGGTTAAAAACCCCAACAGTCTTCTCATACACAATGCTGAGTAGCTAGCAGAAAAAGTCACAATTGCTTTGGATATGAGAATATAAATAATATGGACTGGAAAAATCTGTCCACTTAATTCAAGATATTAATTCAAGTATTATAAGCCTAATCCTGTATTTTATAAACAGTAATTTACTGTCAAACACAATCTAATCAGTTAGCTTTGTACCACAGTACAGCACACCCGATTACTTTCTATTCTTTTAGTGAATTTGTTTAAAGTAAATTTCTAAAAAAAATAGCCAGGACATCTACTGAAAAATTATTTACAGACATCATGAAAGAAGATGTTGCCTTTCTCAGAAAGTGTCATGTTTACAAACACTTTATGCAAGAAAAAAAAAGACAGCTTTGCTTTTAAAGAAAAGGCAGTGCCTGTCCTTTGCCTTTACTCTGCACTAGAAGTTTAACTTGAAGTTTAACCATTATAATTCACAATCCAGAACAGAATGAAACCAATTATGATTTGTTTTAAAAGGGATTTCACTTAATAATAGGCTGTAATTAACCTCCTGACAGACAGATTGCTTTTCAAAATTGCTGGCTATTAGAATTTCTGTCAAAGTTGGTTTTAACCAATTAAAATTTTCCATGTTCTCAGACCACAGATAGCAGTTTCTGCAACAGGGCATTTAGATCATCCAGCTATACACAACAGTCCTGAAAAACAGTGGTGGTCTTATATTTCGTACTAATGAATGCACTTTCATTCTTCTGTATAGTCTCTCTCATTGGGTTTTCCTCCCTTCCAAAGAGCCCTTATAAGTTTGATTCTTTGATCACATAACACAATCTTCTCATTAACCCATTATCTTGCATGTTTAGTTCACGTGAAGATGTTTTTCTTAAGCAACAATCTCACACACCTTGAATTTGTTTTATCAGCATTTTCACAATATGACTCTTAGCGTAAGTGAACACATTCAGCCAAAAATACAAACCTGTTCAGATTCCGAGGGGTATCTTCCGTGGATAGATGTCTCTCTACTGAAGCAGCATACATGTGCATACTTAATACCTAGTATCTCTTTTATTTCTACTTTCAATATATTGTGTCCTGTAAAAAAAATCTGTAACTCCCCAAATAGCAATTCTTAATTACAAAAAGAAAAATTCAGGAGAAGTAACAATAAGCTTATTGTGAGTTTTAATGCTGCTAGCTGACTATAACCTCCTTAAATATCTCAGATTACAAACCTGGTGGGGTGATGAGAGTTCTTTTATGTTCTTTACACCATCCAACAGGATGAATATGTGGGCTAGCTGCCTCACACCTGGAGGTGGGGGAGAAAAAAGGGGACTGATAATGCAGTTCTTCAGACATCCTATTATGCTTAGAAAACAAGACATACAAAAAAGATTTAACAAATTCCAAATAACCTACAACACCTTCAACTTACACTTAAACTGCAAACATAACCTGAAGATATGAACACATTTAACCCAGACTTGGTATCACCTAAAGAGGCATAAGGCTTTATTTACAATTTCACTGGAAGATCAAAAAAGTCATGTCCTTGAATTCAGTGGTAGATCCCCATTGAGAAGCTATAATGCTGGACCTGAAAAATTCACATATAGAGACTCTTGGTAGAAACGTGTTGGCTGGTTGCAAGAACACAGTAATACCATCAAAGACAGATGGGGTTTCGCAATGCCAAGACTGAAACTTTAAACCAAAAGCTTAAAGACCTTGATTAATCATCCAAGTTGCACCTGGTGGCAGATTAGAAAATCATGCATAACTGCAATGCACTGTCAATAACAAGTAAAAATTCAAAACCAGATTCTGAGTGGTTTGAATGGAGCTATAAACACTTCATTACAACCCAGCAGCACATAAGCAAAGTATGCCTAAGAAAAACTGTCAGCAAAAAAGAATAAAATAGCATTCTAGGCCCCAAACTGCCTGAAAGAATCCAGAACTAATCAGTGATCCAAGACTGCAAATTGCTCTAAAAAAGCTGATCAAACTCTCTTACTCAAGGGACTAACAACTTCCCATATTTTCTCTCATGTGCATCAAATTTTACACTAATGCTGTTGCTTGTGGCATGCCACAAGAACCACAGAAGACTAGCAGAGGCAGGGTGAGCTACACTTGATATGTGCTGGCATCTGTCTGAAGCAAGGAGAGATCGCTCTCACTGTGCTCATTGGTTCAGTTACATCATGCTTAGAAGAAAGCAGCAGTGGGTGCTCACTATCAAATTCTGTTAGCAATTAAAAAAAAAAAACCACCCACACATTCTGCAAAAACTTAATTGATATAAAAGCAGATGAGAGAAAAAACTGTTTAACATTCAGTATTATTAAATTATTATATATAGAACCATATAATTTTATTACATATTGTTATATTATTACTTTGGAACATAATACATTATGTACAATATAACATATAATGTATATAATATTTAAAGTATATACTACATACTATAATTATATTATTACTCAGTATTATTAGGAAAGGCAAAAAGTAAGACTGATCTACAGGAAAAGTAAAAAGCCATCAGACTCTGCTATGAAACATACACCATCCCTATGTCTGCATCAATACTTAATAATTGGTTTTGAGTTGGCTGAACAATTAACAGTGTTTTTTAAAGAAGTAGATAGTACTTATGTAGTCAGGGTGACTAAGGAACATCATGCTGACACAAAAAGCTAGCATTACTCTGCATGGCACTGCACTATGCCATGCGAACATACCGTTTGCCTCTATTTAGCTGAAAACTCATATATAACCATGTAATTCCCATGTAGATCTGTCCTTAGGGACCTTGCTTCTCTTAGGAGCCTGTCCCACCTATTTCCTTCTTTAGTTAGATAAATCCAATATTACAGTGCACTAGCTCTCGCTTCCACTATTTCCTAACCCGAAAGGTGCTTCAGTAGCTGACATCAAACATTCCCAGCTACATGCCCTCTCTCTTCTGGAGAACCCTATCAGCATTTCCATCTCTCCAGTAACCACGAGCCCAGTGCCTTACTCACTCCAAGGACCCACCAAGGCCAACAAACTGCAGCTTAAGTTGAAGTTGATAAGGGCTTCATTCCCTATTCCCCATGGAGGGATCAAGAAACCAAGCTTAAGTAGCTAAGTGGTATTCTAGACAGAAACACCCTCTCTCGCTCCTGCTGAAGGAATGCTGCTTTCTAAACACTCCTCAAATATTTAATGAGAAAAGAAGACAAGCAGAGAGCATCCATGCATGAAAACATGGACTTCATATACAACAATCATTGCATAAAATACTGAAACACTCATTTGTGATCCAGTTTCTATTTAATCCCTCTCTGAAGTCAGTGTCTCAACCATTAGGCTGGAGAGTAACATGTATTCTCTCCCTTTACCGTCAGCCCAAGGGGTACGAATGCAAAATACCTGAACACCTGAACAGTGGGTTTGCTCTCCCTGATTGTTATAAAATAATCATTATCTGTATCTACCCAGAAAGTATTAGCATGCTGGAAGTTCATATTAAGTTCCCCTAATTAGTAGTACTAATTTATATATTTTTTAAAATATCACATGTTGATTATCTGTAATACCTAAGAGGGTGCAATGAACTGTGCATGACAGAAAAAAGTTTAAGGTAAATTAGCAGACACTCTAACACCTTAAGGCTCAGATCAAAATGCTAGGTCTGCAGATCTTGAACACAAACATGTTTTAAGGATTGCAAAAGGAAACAGTACAGAAAAGACTGTAAACTGAACCCTGGGGTACTACCACATTGCAGTTTTGAATGTGTGCTGCATAAAAGAAAAACGAAGGAGCACATCATATTTGAATACACAGAATAACACTAGTATGTTTTTTTTAAATCTGAAAAGTAATTTTACATGATGTCTAAAATTCAGTGTGGATGTACTTCAACAACAGAAATGCAGGTTTGGTGTCTCGGAAGCATTGTCTCACAAGGAGCACTCCTCTAGCCTTCTACCTAAAGAGAGTCAAACACTAATGATGAAAAATATTGGCCAACTTGCTACAACTACCTTGTGGCTTTATGTATGAAACAGCTCTGCTAGTATCTCTTTGTAATGATGCCAAATAGATCAATTTCTAGCAGATAAAACCTATCTTTGATAGACTCTGTAATGGCTCTGACAATAGCCAAGGATTCAACTGACTTCAACAATACCAACCTGTTGTCCTACTACAATATATAAAGCTATATTTTATGTATTTAGTATTTATAATATCACACCAGGTACTCTCTAAATCACTGAAGCTGCCATTAATAAAAGGAAACAAAAGGACTTATGTGATAATTTTGCACTGTTAAAACTCAGCATCTAACTCTATAAATTCTTTGCCCCAAACAAATCAGAGAAAAGGTGAATGCTTCATGCTCCCTCTGTCCTCTTCCTTTCTCATTACAGTAACTGTGAGGAGAAGCTAATGAGCAAGGGGGGGCGGGGGGGTAGCACTTTTCTACCCCTCTCAAGCTGGAGTTTTAAATGGAAGAATTTTACATGGATGAGGTATCCTTCTGCACTGGAAGGACATACTCTCTTACTTCCTGAAATGTTTTGGAGTAAAGTCCACAAACTATTTTCAAAAGTCTCCTGAGTTAAATTTGGGTACATACTCATGAGTCTCTACAGTATTATCAGTATTATACTTAAAATAATGAGGTAGACATGTAAAAACCTTCTAAATGCACTTGTTCTGTTTTGCTTTTTCAAGCACAGTTTGAACATACATTTTTATAAAATTCTGAAAAGTAAATGCCATTACACACACTTCTTGCCTTGAAGATTCAAGAAGCAGCAAGTGACCACGGTATGTCACAATGAAAGATACAGTCCTGGAAGATGCTCTGACATTACAGCAATGGGAGCGAACACGGAACAAGTGCTACACACCACAGCACTGCAAAATAGCACTACAAAACATCCACAATATTTTCATTTGGTTTAAAAGAAAACTCCAGTCATTACAGATGAGCCTATAAGAAACTTCTGTAACCATGGTGGCCTCAGGAAAAAAAAAAATCATCCCTGTTCCAGCAAAACCAGGTCATACAGTCCATCTTTACCTACTGATTTCACACAGCCTTTTAGCTTCAAACAGTCCATTTAACAATAAAAAGTAGAGATCAGCAAAAGTCACACATAATTTAAAGTAAAACTATTATGCTTTAATGTGTGTTTTTTCATGGATATATTATCGTTTGGAAGAACAATAATAGTCTATCAGACTAAGCCCAAGACTTGTCAACTAGAATGCCAAAGGCTACTCTGACTTTTCACAACCAATTTGCTGCGTCCCACAGCTTTTTAACTCCTTTGTTCCAAAACAGAAGGCAGATCACCCGGCTCATGCTCTTCATAAAACACGATGATCCATGAATTGTGAGGATGCTTGCTAGGCCAAAAAAGGTTACCACCACTAGCAGGAGCTGAAGAATTTTGCACCTCCAAACCTACCTACCCCTGGACCGCAGCAGAGCACCACCACCTTCCACCAAGCAGTGCAGTGGTGACACGCGTAAGCTCAACTAATCAAGCAAGATTATAATGTCCACACAATTCATGCCTCTTGTGATCCATTCTTTCTGTCACGTGAGAACATGCAGACAGAAAAAGACATCTATTTTCCATACTGGACACTAAAGCTAATCCAGGAAGCTGAAGCAGAGCTAAAAGCAGCAGAGCGCGCCAGCTGAACCCGTAAGAGAACCACACAGAGAGACAGACCAAACAGCAGCTCTGCTAAGTTACAGACAGCTTAACTACATCAAAGCAGGCAAGAGCTACGTGATGTAAAAGGCCAGGAGGAAATTCTGCAATAGGAAAGCCAAGGGCAGCTGGCAATGTGAGCCTCTGGAGCGTGCGTCACTCTGTGTGAAATGAACACGTATGCAGTTCAACAATCCTTAACTCACGGCAAGAAAGCATGTCCTAACAGGAGACTCGGATATGGAAGAAGACTTAGTATTTTTCTCTTGGTCACTTTCAGCTGTCCTGTTAATTTTTCCCAAAAATCTGTTTCATATATACAGCTCATTCAATTCAGATCAAGAGAGATGGATAATAATGCTCGCTGTTAAAAAAAAATGAGTATTCACTTTGTTTAGAAAAACATTTTCCCACCGGGTTTCCACCTGAAGATCTGGACAGAGTTTTTATTTATTCATCAGCACTTTCTTTAAAACAAGCTGTATGTGTTATAGTCATTTTCTGTTTTGAAATAATTTCTGATTTTCCCTTTTGGGAAAACAAACCTTTTGGTATTTTGATTTTCTCTTTATAAAATGTAGATACAATCTGTAATGAAAATGTTATCTATAAAAAAACCACCCATACACGTTATACACATAGATAATAATATGCCCTCAAGAATGCTACTTATATGACTTCTTGATTGTGAGGTGCCAGTCATCTAACTGTGCATAAAAAAAGGAGGGGGGGGGGGAAAAAAGGAAGAAAAACATAGAAACCATCCTGCAGCCCCATCTAGTGCATAAGTGAGAATACTTCATCATTGGCAAGTGTAAAGCTGGTATTAATTTAGGTCAGGACTTCCCAAAACATGGTCCATGAGGTTATGGTATGTGTCCAGAGGTGGCATAGCAAGCCACATTAACATATTTTCTATTTAAAGTGATAAGACAGCTGCATGGTGATTTGCATGAAATTTTAGAGCTTTAGGGTCAAATACTGGTCCATTATCCATTTAAATAGTTAAAAGTATGCACCGTGACTCATGGTTCTTAAAGATTGTTTTATCTTCTTTTTGGCATAATATAACCCCTTCAAAAAGACTTGTTTCTTTCAAAGAGAGAGTAAAGCAAAGTTATTTATCTCAAAAATGAAACAAGCAAAGCACAACTTTTAAAGACTTAGATGTTAGCAAAGTAGCAGATGCTGGTGGAGAGCAGAACTGGCCTCTTATTTAGTCTCACACCAAAATTCAGTCTATTCCAAAACTCATACAGATCAGAAAATGGTTCAGAAAAATCAAAAGCTGATTTGTCTTCATACGGCACTTTAGAATCATTTTTTCTATGCAAGGCAGACAGCTGAGTGTAGCATGGGACACTGTATTTTCTCACACTCCTGGTAAGCTGATCCCAAAAGCTGCCTGTAGGACCTTCTCTGCAGGAGAAGTTCAGACCAAGACATGGATGAGGGCACCCAGAAGCCTCTGACCCAGTGAGTTTGGGCTACAGCATGTTCAGCACTGCCATCGCCTCCATCTCGCATGTGGGCAAACAGCAATAAGCAAGCACAGCCTCATCCCCTGCACAAGCTCTATCTGTGTTTGGGTTTGGTCACAAAAAAATTTGGAAGCTGAGGTGCAAGCAGAACAGATGTAAGTGAATGGAGAACTGAAAGCCAGCATGGACCTGTAGTTAATTCATAGTTCAGACATACCCAAAGATTCCCAAATGCTATTTCCAGATTCAGTCAACCTTAAGAAAATTTGGAAATTCCACTCAGAGGGAATGTCTTTGGCCTCAAAGTAGTATTAGTTGTTTCATCAAAAAAGATGGGACAGATGGAAAGGACCTGATGGCTTGTGCAGTATAGGTAAAAATTCTCCTTCCTGAAGGAAAGTCTTAAATTTGTCAATTTTCTTCACTCTTCTTCCCTCTAAAAGCCACTGCCAAAAAGCAATTTAATGGGATTTATAATACACTGAAAGTATCACCACCATGCATTAAAGAGCTGTAGTAATGACTAATTCTAGCCAGGGTACTTATTTTCAACCATTAATGTATTTTCTAACACTCAGGGAAAAGGCAGGAAGAGTATCTTCAGGCTGAAAGCCTGAAGCCTAGAAAAGTTGAGGTGATGGTAACAGATTTCTGTTGCCTGAAGTCCAGTAAAATCAGTCAACTGTCTTTTAGTTATCCAAGAAGAGGAAAGAACTTTTAACCTGATTGAAAAAGTTCAATCTACTCAAACTGACTAAATCACAAAAGGTATAAAGAAAAAAAAAGGTCCTTGTTTGAAAATAATCAACTATATACACTAAATAAATCATTCCTCCATTGTAATTCTGAGACTGAAACTTATATGCAGGTAAAGGGAAACTGTGAGGCTCTGCTCTGGGTAATCCCAACAGAACTTCTCATTTTTAATTACAGACACCAGTTGGTAGATGTGCAACTTATGCACCTAAGATATTTTAAGGCCCCTACAAACCTCGTATCTAAAATTAAAAATGTAAGTGGGATGCATTCAGGATGCATTTTGAGGCTCTCTTTTAGTCAGACATTCCACTGCTATTTTCATTTGCTGTTCTTTTCTCCCATTTTCTTGCCTTCCTCCTCTATTCACTCCCATTCTCAATCACAGCAATGCAGATAGGTAGGCCACGCCGCTCAGAATTTAATTTCCATGCACAGTATTTCCAGCAGCATCTTCTTGCTTCTTCCAGAAAGGTACTTCACGATTTCATGAAAAGAACAAATCTTCAGCTTGGCTTCAGTGTAAATACAGCTCCAGTGACTTCTAAAACCTAAACATTTTCCACTTCAATTTTCTTTCATCCTTGAAGAAGGTATTATTTCATGTATTCTACATATGAAATTCAGAAAACCCACTTCAGAATACTGTGACTGTAGAAATGTAAAGCCTGGTTATGTACTTAAAAACTGCTTTTCCCTCTTCTGAGAAGATTGGTGGACAAAATTCCTGTTGACATGGGAATATTAATAAGCCTGAAATTCAGTGTATGTCTGCCATACACAGTGCAATGTTTTGAAGAGATACCTGTGCTACCTCTGAACAAACTACAGGTTATATTGCATTGTTCGGCCTAAAAGCCTTGCCTAACTGCTGTTTTCATTATTAATTAATGGCATAACTGTTATTAAAGAGCATTCAAATATCAGGAAATTCAGAATACCTTTTCCCGGTCCCCAGTTTCCTACTGCTTTGTAGAGGAAATGTATGTTCTGTGTTACTTCTTCATGAAAATAATCACTAACCTTCCTGGTCTTTGACTCATATGGTCCATTATCTTGATATTCAGTACCTGACTTCACTGAAATGCCTGTTCACTGCTGCTTCAATAATTTAGGTCTCCTACAGCTTATTTGTCATGTTGCCCATACAATTATTACTTCAAGAGATGGACTCCGGAAGTTTTGAAGTTACGTAATAGTCTCACATCATTCTTATTGACGTAGTGCCTAAGCAGTCATCAAATACAGACGAAGAAAACTTTCTTCATTTATTTTTACAGGCTCAGCTATACAATTAAGTTGCCACCGCTGAACCCAAGACGTAGCTTACAATGCTCCACCTGTTCTGCAGTAACTTACACTGCAAAGAACGTAAGGTATACCGCATTGCTCTAAATGATCTGCCAAAACAAGACCCAAGTGCAAATACACACACTTGCACTGTGACAACCAAAGCCTGAATTTCCTTCAGTACCTTTATGCTTGTAGCATGTCCTGCTCCATCCGCTGACTTTTCTATAGAGATACCCAAAGCCCCTCCACCATGCAACATGCAGAAAGGTCATCTCTGACACAGGTATGGATAGCAGGATCCCAATTTTCAGAGGAATGTAGAACACAAAAGACTAAAACCAGGTTTTGCCACTATCCTGATGCCTTTACAGAAGATGGCTAAGGTTCAGTCTGAATAGCGTAAGTGGATCAAGAACCTTATGAAAAAATGCAGCCTTTCTTCCAATTTACAACTATATGTAAACCTAATTCCAGGTTCAATCAGTCACATTATCATGGTGTGTATTCTTCACTAAAGATATCAACCTCAGAGACACTATGTAATTGAAATGAGAAATTAATCCACAACTCCAGATGTAGCAGCACACCTGAACACTCATTTAGCACAATCTTGAAATTTTTTATGTGCAACCTGACATGGGAAATCTGATTCCTCCAGTCTGCCACTGAGACATACTTTGGTGGCCATGATTACAAATCCAGCAAAATTTGGTATGGTAACTGTATCAACTGTCTGGAAAGTATCACAGAAAATAATGCTTAAAGCTAACACATTTCTGATACATCTCACGAGGATATAAAACAAAAACATCATACCAGTAGTCGTAACTCTCATCCCAGTTGTCAAAATGAACCAGAAAACGATTGTCCACCATGTCTGTTACCGTAGCAACACAAATGAAAGTCGGGTTCTTCTTGTCTACAGCTTCCAGCTTCATCCCCACTCGAAATCCGGACGGAATCACTGTCTACATAGAGATAGACACTTAATTGAAGATAAATACTATAAATCCAGAAATCTCCCCAGTGTCTGCAATCAATATATTCATGTCATTTCTAAGTTTCCCAATTAGCTGCCCCAACAGAGTGGCAGCAGCCTAATTAGCTGACATAAGAAAGGCTCAAACAGAGACTAGTGGTTTATGAAATAAAAAAGCCCTAAACATGCTGCTAAAATTAAATGTGTTGGTTTCACCTCTGTCTTCGATACTCCCTCTGAAAGACTGTGCTTGTTCCACAACATTATGGTGTGAGACACAGTACTAATAACAAGTCTTAAATTTCATTTAATACACCTTTTCTGAATGTGCCAGGTCAGATGTTTAAACAGATTAGTAAAAAATTAATGGATTAGAACTGCAGAGGTGAACTGAAGTGGAGATTGTTATTGAATCTGTTGTAAACATTTTTATCTTAAATTTCAGGTCTCAAGTCTGCAATCACTGAAATGTGCTGTACTTACTGCATTCTGGTTTTCAAAAAGCGATTTAGGAGCAGCTTGAGCCTTGCATGCCTTTAGGTATGAGGGCCAGCTAAAATCTTCTTCCTTATATCCTAAATGAGGGTCACAAAAAAAGTGCAAGAAATGATAGGCATGAGACACAACATGCATGCAGGTGATTTGATCATAACTGATTAAATTATTTCTTCCATGCAGTTCTGAACTGTTTCTTACAACTTCAAAACTGAAAAGATTATGCACTGTTAACCATTTATTCTAATTTTATATAAACTACACTGGGAAAATTTACTTTAAAAGTACTTACCCATTCTACCCCAATATGAACTCAATGAGTCTCTCAGGGAGCACTGGTTTGGATTATTAGAAATTTTAGCAGGACACCCTTTAGAGGAGCTTATAGAGTTCAAAAGACAGTTGATGAAGCTTTTCTATTTTTATTAGGGCATCTGGTATTACAAAGAGGAATCATGTTCTTTATTTAGGGATGGCTGAGCTTCCTTACCAAAATGTCAAGCTTTCTTTACCCTAACTGAGCAAAATGCTCTGCTTTCTTGAGCTGCGCATTATTAGTTTCTTATAGTTGGCTAGGACTGACATTTGAACTGTTCCTAATCTTCATCTGGGAGGAAGAATAGTCATATAAATAAAGCGCTAGGCAAGAACTTGGGAGATTTCAGCTCAGTTTCAATTTCACCTTCAAAACAAGCTGAGAAGCATTTCTCACAAAATCACTGCTCTCTATCCCTGATCTCTGACCTTGCAGTCTTGGCCATCAAGCAAACTGAAGGTCCTCAAGGGGCAGAATCTAGGGGGAGCTTAGGAACTAAAATCTGCAATTCTACCAGTTATCAAAAATCAGTCTCAGTAAGATATCAGTTTTACACTATAATCTCCCTCCCTTCGAACAAATCTTTCCAAGCAGCACAGGCTACAAGTCACCTGTCTGTCTCTCCCCAAGAAAACTGCACCTTACCACCTCTCTGCCTCGCAGGTACCGGCTAACTTCCCTTTGGTGGTCTGACTGACACTCACACAACCAACAAGCTCAGAGCAAGTGCTCTCCAGCTTCTTTTCAGTCTGTTGCTTCTATTTCAGAAACAGCAAATGGCCTACAGGGCCCAAAGCTCTTCCCACTATGCCAGTCAGCCTAAAAAAAAAAATTCCCTCCTCCTACAGACGTTACTATGTCCTCAGGCTATCACTAATACAGCATAACTACTACGAGCTTTAAAATAAACTCCCTGTGTTATATCAGTTGCTTACACCATCAATGCCCCAGGACCCTTTATGCATTCACAGTGCAAGCTGAATGAACCTTCTGCATTTTTTATTCTATGCATATAGCACTTGGAAAGAAACCTAAATATCTGTTGATAGTTTGCCTCTTCTAGTTTCTTAGAGAAAAAATAAAATAATTCATAATATATTGAACTGCATAAAATAATTCACAAGAAAACATTTGTACTTCTAATCTATAAAACAATGCTAAGAGTTGTAAGCAAATAGTCTTTTTCCTTTATTTGGTTGTTAAATAATAAATATAGGAACATCTATTGTAGTTCATATGTTATAATTCAGTAAAACAAGACCAAAACCACTACCAATTTCAGTGAGTGATTGCCTTAACTACTGAAATGTGTCACCTCTTGACTATTTGAAGCGTTACTCAAATATGCCACAGACCACAGCTCTTTTTAACTTTTTGAGAATCTCGTATTTTCCAAGGAACTGCAAGCAAAGAATCCTTTAACTTCACCTTCTCCACATCTGTCTTTCTCAGTTTTCATTTTAAATATCAGCTAACATAAATTAACCTCCAAGTCCAAGCAACGATACTTTTCTTCATACTCCAATTGCCTCTTGCCTTGATAGACTATAGCTGTAGACCAGTTGAAATAATTTTTACAGGAATGTGATATCGAGGCTTTAATTTTCCCTTTGTAATTCTAGAGGATACTCAAACCTAGCTCAAAGCTCACAGCTGACAACACAAAACTCCCACCTACTACATGTGTGATGGCATGAGGTACTGGTACTGGGACAAAGTCCATGGAAAAAAAATTGGTTTCAGTAGATTGTGAAACAGTTTCTGGACAGCATGGGTCTTCAGTCACCAAAAAGAAAGGAAGATCACTTGCTCCTATCTCATCTCCCAAAAAAGGACCAAAGGTTAATTTGATTTAGTCACTGCAGATATAGAACAGTATTCACAAACTTTATTCTAGATATAGAACAGTATTCACAAAGGCTTTATTAACTTCCAGTCAATTTACAAACATAATGTGAAGGCTAACTGGAATTATGTAATTTTTTAAGCAGAATAGACTATTTCAGTTGGAAGGGATCTACAATGATCATCTAGTCCAACTGCCTGACCAATCCAGGGCTGGCCAAAAGTTAGAGCATGTTATTAAGGGCATTGTCCAAATGCCTCTTAAACACTGACAGGCCTGGGGCATCAACCACCTCTCTAGGAAGCCTGTTCCAGTGTTTGACCACCCTCTCTGTAACGAAATGCTTCCTAATATCCAGTTGGAACCTCCCCTGGTGCAGCTTTGAACCATTCCCATGTGTCCTATCACTGGATCCCAGGGAGAAGAGATCAGCACTCCCCCTTCTCAGGAAGCTGTAGAGAGCAATGAGGTCGCCTCTCAGCCTCTTTTCTCTAAATGAGACAAACCCAGATACCTCAGCTGCTCCTCACAGGACATTCCTTCCAGCCCTTTCACCAGCTTTGTAGCCCTCCTCCGGATGCATTCAAGGACCTTCACATCCTTAAACTGCGGGGCCCAGAACTGCACGCAGTATTTGAGGTGAGGCTGCCCCAGCGCTGAATGCAGTGGGATAATCCCCTCTTTTGACCAGCTGGTTAGGCTGTGTTTGATGCACCCCCGGACGGGGTTTGCCCTCTTGGCTCCAGGGCACTCTGCTGACTGCTACTGAGCCTGCTGCTGGCCAGCACCCCCAGATCCCTTTCTGCAGGGCTGCTCTGCAGATAAGAGTAGATACGAGTCTTGGGCTTTTTTTATAATATAGCAATACATTTTCATCTTCTGTAAATCTGAATATTCTTCTCACTTTGATCTTTCTTTCTTCTTAGTCATTTGTTGGTGAAATTTTCTTTTCAAGAGTTTGTGAAACTACACCGTTATTAGGACTATATGGGCTCCTGGAGTAGAACTTCCAACACACAGGTCGTGTCTCACATTTCCCACTAATGCCTGTTTTTGATGATGATAGGATCGTAAGTCTTAGTTTTAACATTCACTTTTGGTTTGTTCACATGCTTTCATCTATGTTGATTTGCTAACACCTGTTTTTGTTTAAAAAGAAACACTACAGAGCTGTATTAATTTTCCCAGAAAAGGTCAATGCAATTTTTACTTTGGGACCTTCAGTGACAGGGAGTTTTCAAAGCTCTCCCCTTCTCTGCTGACTGCAGAGCAACTCCTCTGAAGTGGTTTCAGAAGACCAGGCAGCCTCTGCTGCACCAGCTTCTCCCTTTGGTATCCAAACAATTCTTGGCTTAATCCAGGCAAAAGCCCAGCAGTATTACCATGGCAGAGCCCATGATAATTCTGGGAACACATGCACATCCATCCCGTCTCTGCAGGTTTCACCTCTGTGAGACAGGAAAGTGACCTTCTTTGCACACAGAATGAACAGCATCCTGAAACACCATCTTTCTTCTTCCCGTGAAGCCCAGTTTGGTTTTGTAGCTCTGCTCCCCTGCACCCGCTGGAAACCCAGCACAGCTGCCTGTCACCTCTGCTGCCATGGGGATGGCACACACCCTGCTACAAGGCCTGTCCTGACCAGCGGCACCAAGAATTACCTGCTCCTTCTGTTTTAATAAACAAGGAAACACGTATGTATCAGAAAACATCTACAATAATATTCTTCCTTTCTCATGTCCCTCACGTCCCCCACAGTCCTCTTCCATCACAATAAATAGCCTCCCATCCCTCACAAGGAAAGATGGACTTTGGCCTGTTGGGAAAGTTACCCACTTCCAACCCTTTCAGAAACAAGGAGTGAGTCACCAGGCCCCAAAATCCCCCTGCAGCACACCCTCCTTACAACCCCCTCCTGTGAAGCAGGACGCTTCTGCCCAAGCTTGCGGGAGTGATTAACCGGGGCTGCACTACACAAAGACTGCAGGAGTGTCTGCTCCTTTCTCAGGCCACCGGGTTCCAAATAGTTTATGGTTTACACCAGAAAGGTCATAAGTTTGCATTGTATCTGGAAAATGAATGGCTACTAATGCAAACCTTTGAGTTCTTCTGTGAGGTGGTATTTTATAGAAGATACTGTGCCCTATGTCACTAGTGGTATCAGCTTTAGTGTCTGTATGATTTGCAGTGAGCACTAAAAAGAAATCATTATTAAATTATTACAGCAAAACATTTCTGTCCAACCCAATAAAAACACACAAAAAGCCCCCACAACCTGATTGGGATCTTTCCCCTCCCCTCGGAATAATAGAACTCCACAAATATCCGTAAAACAAAGGTAGTGAAAGCCCTCCTGCTGAAAAACTAGAAAAAATATGTTTTAACTGATGAATGGCTGTTTGCCCTCAGCTTCCTTACAATGCATGAGTCTACCATATTGCTTGTTCTTCCCTGTTCCTCTTCCAACCCATGTGCAAGCTAGGCTGGCACTGGGACAACAGAAGAAGTCCCACGAGTACACGAGCAGGTTCCAGCAATCACACCATACCTCATCAATGATGAAATGGTTTACTGCTGAGGTGAAGTGACAGAGCCAAGCCATGCAAAGGGCAGAGCACTTTGCACGTCTTGCATAAAAATACCAGAGAACAGCCTTGCTATTCAAAATCAAGAACATGTCTTGGGGATGACCGGAGTACATAGCTGTGCAGGATGACAACCAGAACCCTGAGAATTACCATAACATATCCTCCTAACTTGTCTCCCTCAACACCTCTGATAGGCTCCATGACTTTCCTAAGAAAAAGACCTATCCGCTGCTTTAGTATGGTGAAAAAAAATAAACACAAAAGAATAACCTTAAAACCAGAGAAGAAACTGAAGACACTTTTCAGTAAACTGACTCAGAGACAGACAGCAACTTTCCTCCAGCAGTGATAACTCATTGGTAAAAAAAGCTTAAGCTTTCTAAACCAGGCATTTAAGATGGAAAAGATGACAAACCTTCACGACAGATATAAAACTTACTAAGCATGCTGTAATAACATCAGTAACTCTGTATCTGGGGACTAGTCATTTGCTACACGTAACTTACTACTTCAGTGGAGGCCAACCTTCTGAGAAATTCTGATTTATGTTCAAGAAATGGCTATTTCTGCAGAACTACACCCAATGAAAACTCCCGTACTGGAGCAGCAGCACAGAGCACTCCTTCCTGTAGCCAGAGTGGAGCTTGCAGAATGCTCAGAAGAGCAGCACATGCTCCTTCATACTCCTCCAAGGCTGAGCTGCAGAAAGGCCACCCTCTCCCACACTGGCAGGCCCTCTGCCTGTACACTTTCAGTAGCTTTACTCTCACCTTCCACACCCCAGCAGTTACATCCACAGTTTTATAATTCTCCATAATGCATCCTCTTGACTCTGTACACTCATCATTTTGCAGCCTTTTGAAACCATGTTATCCTACCCTCAACTCTGTATGTCAGAATACCACATTCATTTATTTCTCCCTCTCCTGCCTTCAGGATTTGCTCCCTTCATCCCCACATATTCCCTTCCTACCCCAAAAGGGAGCCCATTTATTCACGGCACAGTTCAGTGCAGATATACTACATCTGCCAAAACAAAGGAGTTGCATAATCTGAAATAGAATAATTAAGCAAGCAAATTACACATATTCCAACACGTGTATACCATTTACATAAGCTGTGTACAAATTATGCTTTCGGGCTTGTAATCTTACCCTTTTTTCTCCCCCATTATTCATTCATTCCTCTTTTGCCTCTATTTCAAGCTTACTCTTTGCGGCAAGAGCACAATCTTTATTAGTCTGTGCCAACACATGTACAATAATGGTGATCAATATCTAGTAATGAAAATATTCTAAGGCTTTCCAGTAAAGGATTCTCAGCTGCCTGCGAGACCTCAGTTTAAGCATACACGTCACCAGTATGCTGCCGTTTTACTTGCAATAAGCATTCATTTGGGGCCTAGGTTTGTTGCTTAACTTTCTTTCCTAATACCTTATGAATTACTCTTACGGTTGATTTTGTTTTCTTGCTTTCTCTGAATTTCCACTGAATAAAAAAGTTAGGATTTGAACCTCCAGATTTTAGCAAGACTTCAAGTAGAGTTTAATTTGCCATGTTCAAATACTCTAACTAGATGAACAAAAAAAGTTTCTGCCAAAAAAATAATGATAGCATTACACAGATAGTCTTGAGCTATGGAAAACACTCACATTTCAAACTAAACAATACCTTTAGGTGGATGAAGCTTGTGACCTGTTTTCTCACACCATCCAACAGGATGAATGTCTGAAGAATCAGCATTCACCCAGAAATCGTAACAATCTGGGTATCCATCAAAATGGAGCCGTATTCTGTAGCCACAAACCTAAAAGCAAGAATGTACAACATACAACACTATGTTTTAAGATATTTGCCCTACACATAACAGCTTCTGTTCAGTATTATGTATAACAACAGTGCATTTTCAGTCAGCCTTTTACTTCTGCTCAAGCCAACACTGGATGAATAAATTCATTTGATAAAAAGGAAAGAATAAAAAAGCAAAGCTATTCTCAGTCTGAGTGCCTCCTCTTCTGGTGAAAAGAGTTAACTAAAAGCTGGATATTGCCACTAGTGTTCAAGAACTTAAGAACTGTTCAACCCAACATCAGAATAAAACAGAAACCCTACAGAACAGCATGAATACATCTGATACAATCATGGACAAAGTGCAGATAATGATGCTCTCAAGCTATCCCAATTAACCAATATGCAAGAGAGCACTCAACAATACCTACGTTCAACAGGCTCTCCAGAGACATCCTGAGAACTGTCACTAAAGAAGGGAAATCAGTGGAGTATCCCCCAGAACTTTATTATTCCATGAAGTAATAATTTAACCACCGAGAGGAAAACAGGACACAATCCCTCGCTCTGTACAAAAGTTCTCCACATCTTCCTGAGTGCCAAATACCGTAACTTTCCTGCAGTCATCAATGAAAATCTCTTGACATCAAGGTCACCCTATTTTATACTTAATTTATACTCTGACATAACTTTCAGTCTGCCATCTCAGAATTCTGTGGAATTCAAGCCATCCTGCAGTAAAACATGACCCATCACTTAGTGCCAAGCACAAGGTACACAGGAAATACCCAACCACTGACACACCATCCCCAAGAAAATGGAAGAGATATCCACAGAAAGGGGATATGACTATGGGCCATGAAGAGATCCAGAAATGGGAACATAAAAACATAATATAAACTGCAAAATTACAGCTGCCTAGAATACCAATGATACAGAGCAGAGTACCTACCTATTCCTGTTTCCCCATTTTAATCCACAAAACAAAACCGAAAAAGGATCCTTGGTAAAACTATGTAAAAACTAATGTAAGGTATGTTTGAAAGACATACAAAACATAACTGAGAAATGGGTTCTCATTTATACTATTAAAAGCAAAGAAGCTACTCATCAGAAAAATTATTTCATCAACTGCAGCAAAAAGACAAACTGAGTTTATATTGTATACTAACTTGTAGAATTTGCCAATACAGGCAATTTCTGAGGCCATCAGCCCCCAAAAATTGTAGCAGAACTGCAACACAAAAAAGTATTAGGTATTTGTATCAGTGAATGGAACAACTATAAATACTATCAAACTTCTATAAAACTGTTATACATCAGTTGTCAGAGTTCTTCTACTTATTTTCTCTTTTAAATATAAACTACAGGATTACAGAAAAAGCACACATCATCCAACTAGTGTAATACTGTTTTCACTAGGTGTATATGTTAAATATATGTAAACAGTCACTGCTGCATGGCACTGGATATAGTCTTTACATGTCTGTCAGGTAGATTTAATACAGCATTATTGATTTAAAAGCCATCTACCTACATACAGTTTCTGTCTGCTTTTTAGGGAAGAGCAAGTACTTTCAGCTGTTGCTGTTTTGGTTCAGTCTCTCCTGTAATCCTGCACCACGGCTGCTTGCAGCCTCTACTTACCTCAGCCACTGTGAGAACACAGTATATCGACTGGTGCTCGGGATCCACGCCCTCCAGCTTCATCCCGACTTTGAATCCATTTTTGTTGTATGGGAAAGACTGATACTGCAATGGAGAAAAACAGTTTCAATACTTCTGAAAGTATACCAGAGAAAGACAGAATATCTTTATGAGAAGAAGAACAATGATTATTTATTATTCATGTTTCTGTAAGAACTAATAAATCACTTCAAGTTTCACCTTTTTAAAAACAGACAGCGGAAAAGAAAAATTGATGATTGTTCAAAAAACACACTGAAACTAGAATGACTTAAAACTTGAGAGTATGTAAGAAAATTATAAAGAACTAGCAAAAAAGTTTTAATCAAAGGAAAGAAGATGACATGATTTGCCCTCAACTTTTTTCACTAATTGTCAATAAAACATTCTAACAATGTAATTATTTAGTTTTCAGTCTGTACAGTGACACTTTGACACCTTCCTGGTGGTCATCATTCCTATAATAATCACAACAATGATGCCCTATTTTGCCTTTTCATTTCCACAACTCAGGTCATCAAAAATGAACTATAAGGCAGAAATATGAAACATTGTTTGTATATAGGGATGGCCTCTTTGATGTTAATTTCTCCTTTATATGTTGAGTCCAGATCAGCTAGTATTCCAGGAATATTTTTACATCACAGGAACATGACAACCCTTGTATCACACTAAAACGAACCCAAAGAATGTCTTTCAAAAAACAGATAGTGAAAACAAGACAAAGCAGAATGGATGTTTTCAACCAGAAGGCATCAGTGTCCCATGCATCATGCTTCCTGCCCTCTGTTAAAGAAGGAAGCAAGCTAGCAGGTATGAAGGTTAAATTGGGGGGAACATCAGAAAAATAACTGACTAAAACTGAAGAGGGTTTTCCACGGGTTAACAAATTCACAGCCAGACAGTTTTTATGTCCCAAATGGTTACAGACAAAACACAGGAGAAGCATCTTATATACTCCCCCTTCCTGTTCCTATCTAAAAGCTACACATGCTCCCTAGCCATCTGCAGTACCTTTGCAGTCAACAGAAAGAGAAGGGTACCAAGGGAGGTACTCAGAGGTATTACCTACTTGGAAGGAAGGGAATCCTCTCCTTGGTGGCTTTGGCTGCAACTGGCAGAACTGAATAATAAACCCAGGAGAAAAAAGAAGCAGTGCATGGCACTAGAGCAGGAATATGCAGTCAAGGGGAAGGGAAATGGAGAACCAGACCAGTTTAAATCAGCCTAAAGTGGCCAGCTAATAGTGCCACAGCTCTAAGTCCCTATCTAAAAATAGCTTAGATCACTTTGTAAACCTCAGTTAAGAGATCAGAGTATCCGAGTGCAGTACATGCATTTGAAAAGTTATTTCATCCTAACATCACCACACTTAATATCTTATTAATGAAAGTTTAATGAAGTTACACGATGCATAATTCTAGATACTTCCTCAAGAGGAATATAAAAGCAGAGCATTTTTTTTTTAAATCAATAAACTGAAATTTTAAAATCTCATCCTGGTGCACAGACTTGCAGTTAATGTCATCTATATCATAAATACCTTACAGATAAAAAACCTCAGTGGAAAACTGAAATGCTAGAAATAATGACACACTGAGGATTGGTGGCCAAAAATGTAACTGAGATTTTGCAAAAGCAAGCACAAATAAAATTACAAAGAAAGGAAACAATTAAAAAGTCACAGATCTGTTTATTCTTTCATTATTATAATAAACATTACTGTACAAACAGTACAAAATTTTACAAACAATACACTAAAAATTAAGCAATTATCACACAGGTATTTCCTGAAATTTAAGACATGAATTATCCACTATTCTTCCCAATGTCAAATCTAAAACTTCTAAGGCAACACAGTCTTTAATTTGGTTTCTGTTACAGCAAAGTAACAGGCAACTTTTAGAAGACTAGTAACTTCAATACTATTCAGCAGATTTCAATTTTGTGTATTATTCTCAATACATCACCCAAGGTAAAGCTAAGACAAACTTAGTAATCACATATTATCTTTACAACAAACATTTAAAGATACTTTGTTAAGGAGATATACAAGAACAAAATAAGAGTAAGGGTAAAAGGATTCAGCAGATGAGCAGATGGCAGACCAAGGATTAGAAACATTTATGTATGGTACAAGAACATACACAAAACCCAACAGATTACATCAGGGGAGATGGAGATTGGAAAAAACAACACTCAAGGCTCAATAATTTTGTTTTACTGGAACAGTAAGCGCTTGTCAGTCACAGCCTAGAAATTACTCTAAGGTTTAAGTACCAGGAAGTGGCAAGGACTCTCCATTATCCTGACCATTCCTAACTAAGAGTATGAAAAAACACCATGAAAAGTACAGCTTCTGAACTGGAAAAGGAAGAGAAAAAAAGAGTAATTCTCACAATCCAAACAGAAATCAAAGATTCAAAATCGCTGGTGAAGTTTGGGCTTTCTTTTTTTTAATCTTACTGTTCCTGTGGCTTGCTTGTCCATCTGTAAAACTGAGAAATACTACCTGGCCACCTCCGAGTGTTATTAAGAATTCTCTCTCCGCTACAGGTTTTAAGTACTGCACACTAAATAAAACCCTGGAGTTACCAGGAGGCTAAACACTTTAAAAGAAAACATTAAGTAAGATGCACTGAATGAGAAAGGTGCGCTGTGGAGAAAAAATAAAGGAAACCATACACCATCACGTAACTCCAGACTTTACCACCACGTGCAGTGCCCAGAAAGGCTGGTATATGCCTGTGTGCCGCAAGAGCATTTCACGGAACTTCAGAAAGGCAGAGCAATGCTTTGTAAATCTACATTCCAGATGCAGACACTACTTATCCAGACTTTTTTTCTTGTTAATTTTTCAAGCACAGGGGGATATAACTAAGGATGGTCAGGTAACTGTTGTTCTTGCACCTACAAATCTATGGATTAGGTACATTGCAATCCTAGTTCTTTACTTTTGTACCTCAGTAATGTCTAAAAGCATCAATTAAAGGTCAGCATCACACGCACATGTAAGCTGAAAAGCTAATTCCTGCACAAAAGATTTAATAGTTGAAGTATAAAGCAAACAGATGGAAATAGATGCAAGAAACAGACTACAAATAAGAACAGAATTAGCAAGAAATAATACCGGATATACACAGCAGAAGTACAGCAGCTGAGACACGTTCACATGTTTTGCCAGGTTTTGCAAGAGAACAGAACAGCATGGAAGCTTTGTGGATTTGCATACAGAGCTCTCTTCCAAACAAGAGAGACAGCACTAGTGAAAGCACTGAGATGACAAATAACAAAGAGTACTGTAGCAGGCAAAGTACAAGCAAGAGATGATGATGTGACATCCAATCAGATGACAGGCAAAATCGCAACAAGCCAAATTAGTATCTGACGTAGTAACAGAATATAACGTCAGCAGGAGCTGCCAGACGGGTAATATAATCAAAGCAACAAGCCAGAAGATGATCTTTCTACCACCTTTCTGAACATATTTAAAGAGAATGATAAGGCATGAAAAATGAGGGTATGTATCAGATTTTTAGCTTCAGAGATTAGAAGAAAAGGCTAGAACTTGCAGATTTTGGAAAAGCATCTGCTTTCTGTAGTCTCAGTTGACAGCATTCATCTACAACTACAGAATTCTCTGAAAAAGCAGAGAAAGATAACTAATTTCACATGTTCCAACTATCTTGACAATTGCTGATGGATAGCATTGTTTTAATCATGTAGGTTTTCCCCCAGAGAAGTGTAAAATCTTCAAATTATTTCATGATCTTAGGTGGTTGACTGATTTAAACTTTAGAAGGTCATACCTCTTTAAAAAGCTTAGTAGGTACTGCAACAGCCTTTTCTTCCTCTAGATAGGATGCCCAACACCATGCTTGCCTTCCTTTAGAGGGTACAGCTGTAAAGAAGCACACAATAGCAAAGGAATTCTATAACTTATCTTCTCAAGAAAAAAACCAAAACAATACTTTGAAGTTTATAATATGCCTATCTCAAATCTACATTTTATTAAATGCATTCATGGTGTTTCTCAGGACTTATTTCAGAAGTAGCTCTGTAGGTTTAATGGCACCAGGAACATAAAGGTTGTTAATTTTTCAAGCAGGGGGATATAACCAAGGATGGTCAGGTAACTGTTGTTCTTGCACCCACAAACCTATGGATTCTGTACATTGCAGTCCTAGTTCTTTACTTTTCTACCTCAGTAACATCTAAAAGCACCAATTAAAGGTCAGCATCACACACACATGTAAGCCGAAAAGTTAATTTCTAAACCAGGAACATGAAGGCTCCTGGTTTGTATAGAAAGGTTTCCAGCAGTTCAAATGTTGATCAGTAACAAGAAAAAGCTCTTTCAGGTGACGAGAACAACTTACAAAGTCTTGCCCCCTGTCCCTTTTCCCTTATTGCTCATAAGAAGCATTAAGACATGCAGATATGTAGAAAGATCAGTACAAATCACAAAGTAGGTCAATATTTTAATTTTTTTTTTTCCAGAGAATTTCTTTTCCTGGGAAGCATTTTCAACTGGATAGCATTCGTTACATGCTTTTTTAATTACAGTTGAAACACTTTATTCTTTAACAGTATTCAGAACGTTTCTAACCAACTCCATCACTTGGTAGTTTGATGGTTTTGGGTGGAGAGACAGTGATTTAACAATAATTTCTCCAAGCCATCAAAACTGTCACCAGTGCTTTTTCCCCCCCATCATGTTATTAGCATATGACAGAAACCTCCAGTTTCAGGTTTGTTCATATAGTATGAGCACTCACATGCACTTGCATAGTAATTGTAACATTGGCTACAGTCCATCTTAATACTGGCTACAGTCACATCAGCGAGTAACAGTTTTTAGGCCTTGAAAATAAGGCACTAACTGCGCTAGCAAAAGCCAGGAACTTCAAAAACAGATGGCTTGTGAGGCTGGCCATGTACGTTATCTATTTTCATACACCTCCACTCTGCTCTACTGACCTTCACCTAAAATGCCTCCTCGCTTAGCATTTCAGACCATAAACTCATGCTGCCAGGAGGATTCCTCACAGTCCACAGTATGACTCTGGCCTGATCCTGACTGTGGGCTACTCACAAGAGAACTAAGTCCCTTAAGTAACAGTCTGGCTAAGCATTTTTATGATTAAAACATGAACCATAACAATAGCGATGCCAAACTCCCCTGAAGAAAGCTGATAATGTAACCAAAAGATAACGAATTTCAGAATGTCAGCAATCACTCAATACTATTAAAGCACATCCATTTTATTTGTGATTTACCCCGTTTTTATCTATTCCATTTAAGAGATATGTTGCTCAGCACAATCATACACAGTCATGTGCTTGGTTATAAATTGGTCTTTTATACCACATCTCTTGTGCTGAACTGACATTTTCCAAAATAAAAAAAAAAACAACAGAAGAAATCTGTACAGATCATTCTGTCACTGGACAGCAGTGATTTCCATACAGCATTGGCTTTGTGCTCATATCTCACACTTCTTATCACCTCAGCTTTGGAAACAACTGTAGAAATAATATTTATACTTCAGGAGAAATTCTGTCTTGGGAGGGGGATCTTCCATAACTTTTATATGTTGCATCTTCGATCAGTATTTGATCTGCCTAAGGTGCAGCTGAGCTACTTGAAGCTCTGTGCTGATTAGCGGCCTGGCAACTTCTGGTAATGGCTCCCAGTCTACCACAAGAAACACTTTGGAGGGCAAGATGTAAGTTTGTGGTTGGTGTACCACTGAGGTATGATAGCTGCTGATTCTCCAATTCTTCCTAGAAGTATCTATCATACAAATAGCTTGAAAAAAACAGCACTCATTTAAAATATGTTTTATTATGCTGCTTGATGTGGTGTATGTCCCTTTGGACTGATTATAGCAATTATTCCTGAACAGTTCCATAAATATGTCTATTTCAAGCACATACTATAGATACAAAACTGACCCCCAAGGAAACAAAAGTAAACTTTCACGTCTGCCTAATATAGGTCTTTCAACATCTGGGAACTCACTGGGCCTGATTCCCTTTAATACTGGCACTCTTTAGAGGGATGGAAAAAAAAACCAACCCAAAAAACAACCACCCTAAAATGTGCATCAATTACATTTGCACTCACTATATCCTCCTCCACACTGCCAGAGGTATATAAACTGGCTCTCTGTAAAAGATAATCAATCTCCACATGATGGGGTTTTTTCCCAGTTTTCACTTGGCTCTCTCAGTCCTTCAATCCTCAAAACTTAATTGCTGTAAATAAGACTGGCACTCTCTTTTTACAGAATTGAAAAAAAAATGTATCAAATAAAGGAATACAAACTCAGTGAAACAATGCTGACAATTCACAATAAGAGATGGATATGACCTAAAGAATTAATAGTTGAGATTTTTGTTTCATAATCTAACTTACTTTGTTTCAAAACTGTTATTTCTACTTTTCTTTTTCTCCTGGCTCTCTGTGAGACTCTCAAGATCCTTCCTTCAGGTTTGTCCTCCTAAGGGAAAAAAAAAAAAAAAAAGTACAGTAACCTCATTAGTTCAGAAGTCTAGTACAGTAAAATGGAGACACCCAAGGTTTAACCGTGACTTCATTTAAATGGCTACTGACATAGCTCTCTGTGATCTCAAACAAACGTGCAGATGTCCAGTAAAAACACAGCAAGCCATCAGTGACAAATCACAGCAAACACAGTGAAAATGACAGACAGAAGGACTCTCAATTTCCAGCACTCAGGCAGCCAGCCTTGTCTTAGCCAGGGACAGATCACAAAGCCTTCACCAGGCCTCGCTGAGCCGGAGATAAATAGCAGTATCTTTGATATGTTCATGCTTCCAAAATAATTTAAAGGAAAACCTCTCACAGCTTTAGTCTGCTTTTCTCAAATGTACAATTGCTTTACTAAATATGAAATGGTACTGATCCTTTTTGTTTATTTCATTGTTTGTGTATTAACAGTTTTGTTAGCACCTGAAGAAATGAACAGAGTTAAGTACTCATTTAGGAGGGCAGATGCATGGAGGCAAAGAAGGTATCCCCTGACTTCTGCCTAAGATACTGCTATGCAGTGAACTATGAATTCCCTTCTGACAACTCTAGTGTCTTCAGCGTTTTGACAATTCAGCAGTTGCAGAGCTCTCCCCTTCTCCCTCAAAACTGCTCCTCCCAGCAGTGTCACAGCTATTGGGAACAAAACAAATATTACAGGAAAACAAACATTATGGGAAGGCACTGTGATAAGTTTACTTTAAAATGAAGAATAAATCCAAAAGGAAAAAAACAAAAGGTGCCCCAGAGCACATTACACTGCAACACAAACCAAACCAAACCTTTAGCTATGATTTTCTAAGGCAAATTACACTAAGAAAATCAAAAGTATTATCTTAACTGTAACGTAGCGTTCTTCGTAAATAAATTATTGGTCTATAGTAATTTATTCATGTGCAGAGTAACAAAGTAACAAGTGTTGGGAAATATGTATTCCTATTTTTCTATGCTGAAGACATAGCAAGGCTAGGTTAGTATCATTTTTCCTTTAAATTCTTTTTGTTCTGTTCTTAAAAAAGGAGGGAAGAGAAAAAAACCAGTTCTTATAAGTTCATTGTCAATAATTACAATTTACTGATGAGGCATAATTAAATTGGTAAGTGAACCAACTACTTATTGTGGCTCCGGTAGAGTGATGCCGTCACTTCTCTGTGTAGACTGATGAAGTTACTGACATTACAGTATAAGGCAAAACTCCCACCAAAATACTTGCAGGAATGGGTTTATGATGCATACTAACAGTTTCATCCGGATTCTCTTTCTTCTCCCCATTATCCCTGGACTCTTCTTTGAGAGGTAACTTTGCTTTTCTTTTCCGAATGCCTTTGGAATCATCTTCCCCATTGCACTCCACGCTGGGCTTTTCCTCCTTTGGTTCTCTGTTACAAGAGTAACACAATGACACAAAGCCAATATTATTTTACTTCTCATATTCATAAAACAAGTAAAAGGCAAGTAAATCCGAAGGTCAAGCATTTGTAAGTCCCAGGGTATTATACAAAATATATTCTTAGAAATACTACTGAAAACTACATCTGTCAGAAGAATTAATCTGGAAGACACACAATAGCAACTACAAAAGGAAAGCTGTCAGATTAACGCTGAACAAGTTCTGCATGTTTTAAACACTGTGTCTTTTCCCATGTAGCATCAAATCTCACAGAGAAGCAAACTGTGAAATGTTTAGGACTGCAGGGCAGTTTACAGAAAGGAAAGCAAAGGTAATTGTTAGCACTGACAAATCCAATTGGAGAAGGCTGGTATGTGACTACAAATTGCTAAACAAGCAATCAGAACAGAAAACTTAGAAGCAATTAGCTAAAAATGAAGGAGAATACACAAAATCATAGATGTTAAAAACTGCCATAATGCACTAATATGCAATACAGAACGGACATACTAACACAAACCTCATTTTATGATGAGATGAACTGCACTAGCTGAAAAAAAAGGAACTAAGAAACTACAGTATGCTTGTTCCCACTCACTGTCATCTGTAACACAGTTCTTGCACTTAGCTTACCACACCAACCATCTCATTACTGATTAATTCCAATGATTATGAAACAGGGTGGGAGTCCGATACCAATCCATACATCCCATAGACTATCTTACCACTTGCATCTGACAGCAGAACACAGCACACTGAACAAAGAAGACTGCCTTCAACATCAGTGTTAGACAAAACCAAATGTTAACACACTTACATGAAAAACAGTGAAAGAACATTATAAACCAATGGAGACTCACCAAAACATGGCTGCTTAATATCTCCCTTTGCCCCACCATTAACATTTTACCCCACCACTTTTCTCTCATGCTGAATTTATGCCAAATTCTTCGTTTCTATGCTTTATAATAGCACCTACTTGTTTTTCACTTGCTGGGCACATTTCTGGCTGCAAAATTTCCCTTCAGGAACAAATTCTTCTATGGTACCATAGCGGTAACAGTTTTCACAGAAAACAAGTCCATCCGTTTTTGCAGTTTCCTTCAACCTTGTGGGGATCCCTGTCTTTTCTGAAAAGGCTGCACAATGAAAAAAGTAACTTCACTTAAGGTAGAGGTGATACATTTCCAACCACCCTCAGCAGGCCTTGCCAAGCAAACAGAAAAATGAAAGTCACATCACCCTTGTTAGAATGAAGAACTGGGAGTTACGTGTCTCTATGGGGTCCATATTCCTGACAAGCAAGTTGGATTTTGATATTGCAACATGAGAGAGAAGAATCCACCGATTTCATGCTTCTGTCATCAGTGGCACATCGACACTACTTGATGTGGCTAGTCATGGAAGGAGAGAATTTTGTGACAGGCACTGGACTGACTGCCCACAGAGTCATCACTGCAAGGAGTCCATCACCTCATCTCCTGCTGACATGCCTCATTTTTGACCTATATATAGGGTCATTTGGGAAAAAGGTTTGGGGGGGAGTTATCTTTTCATAGGTGACCTTATTTCTGGAAGTAAATCACTGACTACATTCTACAGTCTCTCACAGCAGTAGTTCTTGCTCAACCTGCCTGAGGTCTACCAGAAGTAAAAACATCACTGATTTGTAACAAAGAAATTTTCAAATACTAAGTTACTCACTCATCCTAAGCTACAATTTCCCCACAAGAGGCCTGTAGCCTAGGAGAGGATGCAATTTCTTTCACTCATAGACAAGTATGAAGCACTGTCAAGTTCTCCAGGTTCTAGAGCAGGTCGTTGACTTTGCACTCTCCCAAAAGGCAAATTTCAAGTCACAAACTATTCCTTTTGCTTGAGCACTGTACTGCCTGTGAAAGCGGAGTCAAATGAACTCTTGTGTGCAGACCATCTCCACCAGAAGAATATGTAATTTATATGCTGTATTTACACTCCAGTCTCAGGAGTGGTTCAAAACAACCATTTCTTCTCATGATGGAAAATTTTAGCAATATTTTTATTTGGGGGGAGCATTAAATTAATCAAGGACAGTGTAAGGTAGTAGTAGGATGATTACTTGATATGTTTATGTGTCCATAAGCACACTTTAATTCAGTAGCAACATTTTTTTTTCAGGTTTACCAGACCGTAGTGGGTGAAGTTGTATGCTTTACTGTAGATAACTCTGATCTCTCAGTCTAAGGAGAGAACCTGTTGCGCTACTATGCTATCACACTGTTGCCACCCTCATCACAGATATGAATTTTTAATAACTATCATTGCCTTGGAGACAGACCTACAGAAGAGAGTACCTGTGGTCTGAGGCTTCAGACCTCATAGCTGAAACCCAAACTACTTTCCCACTGGTGTAAATGTTTCATCTATTCACAAAAGTCACATGACAATTAATACTTAATGGTGGGGGACGAGCAAAGGAAAACTTTCATTGACTTTGCTTATCATGCTTATACTGATGATTATTAAACCAAAATTTTGAAGTCTGCTTTTCGAAGGACTTACAGGATGCATATTTTAAAAGAAAATTCATAAAATGTAGTATCAACAAGGAAAAAAACCTAGGCAGTTGTAAGTAATCACAAAACCGGTTGTGATATTCTCTTTCATGCTACTCCATCACTGCTGGAGTCAGTGTATCAAGATTTTCAGAACTTATGACCATATAAACTCAGCTTTTATTGAACAAAAAAAAGGTGTTTCCTTACATCAGTATTTTAAATCCAGGAAACACCTTATTTGGTAGGAAGACACTATAACTCTTAGAATTTTATCATTCAAGATAAACATAAATGGTTACTACACACTCATTTTAATACTGTAAAAAAGCGTAGTCAGCAGCAGCAAGGCAACAGTGCAGACATACATTGACATCGGTGGTAGCAGCTGAGCAGCAGCCAGTATCATGTGAAGGTGGTTTACCGTTGTATTGGCTTTGTGTGGCAAGGTTTTTGGTAGCGGGGGGCAGTTACAGGGGTGGCTTCTGTAAGAAGCTGATCAAAGCTTCCCCTGTGTCCAACAGAGCCAATACCAGCCACCTCTAAGATGGACCCACTGCCGGCCAAGGCTGAGCCAATCAGCAATAGTGGTAGCACCTGTGTGATAACATATTTAAGAAGGAAAAAAAAGTTGCAGTGGGCACAGAAATGGCAGCTGGAGAGAGGGTGAGAACATGTAAGAGAAACAACTCTGCAGACACCCAGGTCAGTGAAGAAGGAGGGGGAGGAGATGCTCCAGGCGCCGGAGCAGAGATTCCCCTGCAGCCTGTGGAGAACACCACGGTGAGGCAGGCTGTCCCCTTGCAGTCCAGGGAGGTCCACGGCGGAGCAGATATCCACCTGCAGCCCAGGGAGGACTCCATGCCAGAGCAGGTGGGTTCCCGAAGGAGGCTGTGACCCCATGGGAAGCCCACGCTGGAGCATGCTCCTGGCAGGACCTACGGCCCCATGGAGAGAGAAGCCCACGGAGCAGGTTTTCTGGGAGGACTTGTGACCCCATGGGGGACCCACACTGGAGCAGTGTGCTCCTGAAGGACTGCAGCCTGTGGAAGGCACCCACGCTGGAGCAGTTCGTCAAGAACTGCAGCCCATGGGAAGGGCCCACATTGGAGAAGTTCATGGAGGACTGTCTCCCATGGGAGGGACCCCACGCTGGAGCAGGGGAAGATTGTGAGGAGTCCTGCCCCTGAGGAGGATGAAGCGGCAGAAATAACGTGTGATGAACTGACTGTAAACCCCATTCCCCGTCCCCCTGCGGGGGACTATGTAGAGAATCTGGGAGTGGAGCTGTGCCCAGGAAGAAGGGAGGGTTGGAGGGAAGGTGTTTTGAGATGTGGTTTTATTTCTCATTACCCTACTCTGGTTGATTGGTAATAAATTCAGTTAATTTTCCCCAAGCTGAGTCTGTTTTGCCTGTGACAGTAATTGGTGAGTGATCTCTCCTGTCCTTATCTCGACCCACAAGCCCTTTGTTATATTTTCTCTCCCCTGTCCAGCTGAGGAAGGGGAGTGATGGAATGGCTTTGGTGGGCACCTGACGTCACGTCCAGCCAGGGTCAACCCACCACAAGTGTGCGGTACTTCGGTCACAAATGAACTGCAGGCAGGTAGTAAAGTCTGTGGACAGTCTGTAGAACCAGCTCAACAGAAATAACATCTAAAAAATCTCAATAATTTTCAAGTAAGAAATTTACTATTTTTCAAATTAAATAGAGCGAAAATACTGATTCTAAACTTAGAAAAAATTACTATTAGAAAAAATTGTGTCTGTAATTGAACTTCAGATGTTTAACAGTGGAATTATTTCCTTTTAACTTCAAATGCATTTATTTTCATACTTACACCCCAAGAAACGGGTAACATCATCAGAGATACTCTGTGCATTAAAGCAAGTAAGTTTTGGTTTTTTATTTTGGGGGGCAATCTTTAAGAGAAACTGATATGCTAAACAAAATACAGTCTACCACAGAAAATGTTTACTACCTCTTAACTGACCTTCTTGAGCAGTTGGAACCATCCAGGTTGTGGTAGCAGTTGCCTTTTTAACACTTTCCATCTCAGTTTCATCTGTAATCACTTCCAGGGCCCCAAATTCATTCACTCTAAACTGTAAGACAAAACAAATAGCACGGAGTATAGTAAAAATTTACTAATACTCTCTTATGGCATCATCTTCTATTCACCAAGATAGTTTTTACATGGTGTCCTCACCATATTATCTATTTTCTGTGTGTTTCTGCTTATCCCCAAGGAACTGGAAACAAGCCTTTCTTGTCTCTATCAAGCAAAATGCAAACTTATTTTGTTATCTAAAAATATTAATTTGCATAGATATTGATATAGATGCCTCCACATGCAGATCAATATCTAACCTACACACAAGAATCAAAAGTCATTAAACAGAAATTCATGGAAAAATCTCCTAACCGTATGCTTTTCTTTGCCAGCAAAATAACGCACTCCAATCACTGAGTATTTTTGTTGAGGAAAAGGGAACTGAACATTGAATACAAATGCTTCACAGAGTACAAAATTTTAGCATCCTCCAAAAACACAGTACTTCTCTGCTGTGAAGTGCACATAAACAAACATCTCAAGGCAGTTTATGAGCTGTTTAATTACATCCTGAACGTGATATTACTGTCAGCCAGAAGCAAGGCTCAACAATACCCCACCTGCTGTGCTTACACAGGAGCACTGCGAGTTATATCCATCCTGCTGCCAGCAGAAAAGTGTCTTCCAAATGCTATAATGATTACAGCACTACTTCAGCTTCCCAGTCACTACTTGGTTTGCAGGCCCAGCTGGTTACACAAGTTGAACTCAAGGCTGTCCGTGATGCTCTGCTCTGAGCAGCGAAGGGGTGTAACTCTCTGAGCTTTGCCACAGAGGACAGGTCTGGAGTAGTGAGGTGCCCTCACCAACAGAGATCAACAGGAAAAAATTACGCCTGACAGAGTCTTTCAAAGCTCCCCGGCACCCACCTGAGAGAATATTCCTTCAGGGCAGTGCATGAGGCCTATTTCTGTTTCTCTGGTCGGGCAACTTTACCTTGGGAAAATGAGAAGGCAAACAATTGCCTGGCACTACATTGATCTTCTCTGCGCCTCTGGAGGCTGCAGGATGAATCACCCCCACTCACTTTGGACCCTGCTATGGTATAGTACCAAAAATAAGACATCCCGACTGAAAGCAAAGGTCAGCCCCATGACGTACATACCACAACAGCATGCTTTCACTAGTACGGTTCTCCCAGCCTCAGCATTTGCAAAGAGCCACCAAGTCCTAAGGAACACAAGCAGCTCAGAAATAATAAGCTGAGGGGTAGAAGGGGAAGAAGAGGAGAACCTCGCACAGTCGTATGACTTCTGGAGCCAAGATTTTTACTTGAGGTTAGCTATGCTCACAATAGACACGCAGCGTAGACAAACTCTTGATAAATCCATCTGGACTGAAAGTCCAGGAGTTCAGCTTTGAAAGGCAACCAAATGCAGTAACACCCCATGCTCATACTCCAGTTTGTGGACAGACGTTCACGCTGTTCCACCCAAAGAAAAGCAGTGGAGTTACCATTCAGAAGAGGATCCTTGTGTCTTACGGCTGACTTGCGCAGCCAGCCTGATCCCTATTTTGGTTAAGCTCATTTTTGTTATTTGTGCTTTGCTGCCTCTGCAATAGGTGGATGCCAGAGGGAAAACCTCGCTTGCTTCCAGGAGCTCTAACTCTGCAGCAGCTGGCTCAGCGAGCAGGCTGTGAGCACAGACTGCAACTCGGTGCTACAGCCCGCCAACCTGCCGGTCACAGGGAGGTTACTAACCAACTTCTGGAAACACTCTCCTGCACCTTCATACAATATCAGCCGGAACATCTGTACGCCAAAGGTATTTCCGAACAGTCCAATTAATACCTGGGATATTTCTGCATGATCCGACTGATGTTCAGCCCTGACACTATACATATGCTCCTCCTCCACCGCGGCCTCCTGTGGGACACAAGACATCACCCTAGCTAGCGCAGCGGCCTGCCAGCCCTTCTGGCTTCCGAGGGCTGACTGACAGACATCAAGTGATGAAAGACAGGTGACTGCAGGGAAGGCTGCTCCCAGTTACCCTTTCATTGGAGGCTGTTCACGGCAGCGAGAGCTGAACCATTAAGGAAGCAACTCTTCCACAGTCGGGCCACCATGCTAAGATGGGCTCTGTCATGGAGAGTAACCACTTGCTACTGCCTCAGCAGGCAGGAGGGTACGACAACGCTACTAGGCCGCTGCCCCATCTGACCTCTGCATCTCCTGGTTTTGCACGCAGCCTCCCCTGTATCAGTGTCAGAGGCCTCCAGCTCCTGTTCAGACACAAACTTGAAGCAGATACGTCTGCTTTCACTCACCGCTTCCCCAGCTACAGCTTCAGCGTTACTGCGCACACTGAGCTCTCCGTAGCTGACCAGAAAAATGCCTCAGACCCGGGGAGTCATACCCTGGCTTTAGCTGGGGAGGAAAAGCAACAAAAAAATTTGTGACAGAGGTTAATTGCTTAAGAACAGGATAAACAGATGTACAGAGCAGCATGCTGCACGAAGTCATCACAGGATAAGAGCTGCCAGAGCTATGTGCCAACTAGTGTCTACTGTTGGAAGCACGACAAAAAAGGATCTAGATTAATGGTGGTTTTTGTGTCTATGAAAAAAATCAATGTTTTCGTAAGCCTCTTCTACTTAGAAAGGAGGCAACAAAAAAAATTAAAGGTAGAGGTCCTGTCATAATAATTCCTCTACTTTTGGTGATCCAAGCTAAAATATAGTAAGAGCAGTCCTCCCATACACTTTCCCAGGTGTCTTGACAGTCTGGAAGTTCACAGCAGGTGATACAGAGGCAAGGAAACAGTGTCATTGAGCTAACTTCCGAGGACAGATCCACAGCTTTCTGAGAAGTAAAAATTTGTTTTTAAGTCACAACAGTTCTTAAGTAAATAAATAAATTTGCATTGGATGAAGGGATTTTCCTTAAACCTGCCTTCATTAAAGCAAACAGTAAAATTCCCATTGACAGAAACAAAGTCAGGCCATTATCAAGTACTTTTTATATTATCTCACAAAGCAGCCCAATTTTGGTCACTTCAATGTTTAAAAGAGAATAAATTATAGAGCTTGTTGGGTATGAATTTAATCCACTTGACTTTTGTCAAATGCCAGTTTGCAAATTTTAAGCTACCTCTTATGAAGATAGTTCTCTATGCCACCCAATGGAGCCAACGGTCTTAAAACATCAGAAGGCAAAGAAGAAGAGGAGAAAGAAACCTCAACAGCTTTCACGAGTGAACCCACAGAAAGATAAACAGGAATAAATATAACATTTGGATAAAAAATTTCACTTTCAAAGTTTCACGTACAGGTGAGCAACAAGGGCAAAAATACACATTTTCAAGTTACTGCAGTTCTTTTAACACAAATATATCATAAACTGAGTTTGCAGGATGAGTCCAACTGCTAGTGGGTAAATATACAACACACAACTTATTTAGCTGCCTTATTTAGCAGTTTCCACAAGGATCAAAGGGGAATTAAACAGCAGCTTCCATCTAAATATCATTAGATTCCTTCCACTCAGAGTTGAGATACATTTCAATGTTCTCAGGAAACGATGCCCTGATATACCAGACTTCAGCTTATATGGCTGTTAATTTAATCCCCAAGAACATTTTAATATTCATTCAATAAATAAAGAACACATTGAGGGAAATCAAGGCTTAAATAAATAATAATCAAACATTATAAATACTTTCTGAACCATTTCTGTCTGTCCGTCCACATGTTAAGTTCTTCTACAGGGATCAAAATTACTATCAATAAACATTTTTTTAAAAATTAAAATTGCATTAAAATTTACAGAGGACTGGAACAAGTATCATAAGTCACTGAGATGAAACCTTTGTATATTGCAGGCAATAGTATCACACAAAGTATTTCATAAATGTTTCAGCTGCAATGGAGAAGCAGCCAGATTTTCTGCTACCAGTGCCTCTACTTAAAGTCCATTCCTGAATTTCTTTCTCGAAAAACCTTCTTCTAACATTTCATTTACATCTATTCATAGTCAGTTTATACCCATTTGTTCCTAACCCAATATTACCCTATGGATTACATAGCTCTAGTACCCTAGTGCTTACTCTCTGGGTATACATTTGAAGCAAGGAATTATGTACCCCCAAACTTGGTTTTATTAGGCTACGCATAAGCTCCTTCTGTTCTTACGAAAATGCTGCTCCAGCTTCTTGGCCAGCCCACTGTCATTCATTGCCCACAAAGTGCTGGGCTCAACCATGGAAATTGACTTTTCTCAGTGAACATGACTAAGCATAACACTGCAGGTGGACTTCTGCTGTCCCTCCTCCAGTGGCTTTAGGACCTGTCCATTCCTAATGGAACTTTTTTGCCTTATCATGCAGGCTGGAAGGTACTCTGTAGTTTTATGTAGGGAGAATTATATGTTAAAAGGGCTTTCAGTTCTCTTTCTCCGCATTTCATAAAAATACTCTGTGTATTTGCCACTATGTGGGATAAAAATAAATATGCAAACAATGCAAAATGTCTACCATATGGCAGATTAATTCTTAGAAACTCAAGGCTATTGGGAAGAAATACATACAATCTAGTTTCAAATTAAGTCCCTACTGTTGCATGTGTATAATTCAGAGCAACAAAGATCAGACTATCTCTATTTGCTGTTACTTGTGCCCTTTTAAGAGTGTACAAGATCTCATCAGTACCCACAGAGATCTTATCAGAATAAAGGCTTCTATTGTTTTATACGAGGTAAAAATATTATTTGGGAGAACAAGCAGAATTAAAAACGAAGAAAAAGGAAGAACAACTGAAGTGCAAAGGATGAAAAAAGAAGAAAAAATCCCACACATCTTAATGCACAGCTTTAAAATAAATTAGAAAAAACAGCCAACACTACCATCTACTGGGCAAGATAAGGACAGAGAGTTCATTGCAATAAAGACAACTGTTGCATTCTGACAGTAACTTCAGGAACAAAACTTATCTTGACCCCACAACAGTGTGACTGTGGACTATCTCAGAAGAAACCTGCAAAATTTATATTAT